TTGCCTTTATGGGCAGTAGGTTCACACTGTTTTATGGTGAGTGGTTACCATCGCTCATGGACGTCAGCAATGCCAGAACCACAATAAAGTTGCTGCCTATTACAATAATACTAGAAGAGGCAGCGGATTGGCTCTGCCCCTGGCATTACTGAAGTCCATGGGCGACGGTAACCACTCACCATCAGGTGGGCCGTATGCTCGTCTGCCTAAAAAGGAAAAAAAAAAAAAAAAAGTGAAACTCTAACTCAGTCACTCATTGAAGAATGGCACTCCGAGAACAAGTTAAAGTGGGCCTAATCTAGGTCTTAGATACTATTATACGAAAAATAAAAAGCCAAAGGTATTAATTAACACACTGTTGACATTTACAGTTCACATCTTGGGCATTGTGCCAGATATGATGTCGTTAGTTTTATTTGATAATTAATCTGCTTAGTTCAACACATTGGACTTCCTCTGACAGTTTTAGATAACTTAGAATGGATGTAACTAGCATAGCCCATCTGCATTTTGGCCCTCTTCTCCTTTCCCAATTATCTTAGCAGGGATCAGATGCTTGTTGAAAAATTAACAGTAAAGTTGTTTAATAGGTGCAGGACTATAAAGCTTCGGAATAGTATTAAAACTTTAAGTTAGCACACAAACTGTGCCCCAATTTCTCAAATTTAAAATTATTTTTACACTATTATGCTTTATCCTAAAAGTAGCTATACTGATAAAGTTCATTAACTGTGAGAAATATACTGAAATTTTATCTTTAGATTAATCTATGTTCACAATCTCAAATATTTGAGATTTGACCCAGTTTTATAGTGTACTCAATAATTTTCAAAGTACTTTTTGAACTTTTTAAATTTTAGTTAATTGTTGTTATCTAAATGTCGTTTATCTCCAAAATATACACTAATAGTATGTTTTATGAAAAATGAGCAATATTATAAAGGTCACAACAACGGCTTATCGAGTTTGGTAATATGGGTAGCATTGCCAAGACATTAAACACCTAATCAAGAACAAACCACCACTTAGTATCATACAAAATGTAAAAAAATCCTGTAGTGTAAAAAATATTATAGTTGCTTAATTCTAACTACACATAACATAAAAAAATAGCTACATGGCTAAATATTTAGAAAATACTTTTAACTTACTTTTAAAGTTTTATCGTCACTAGCACTGACAATCAACCTGCTGTCAGAGGACCATGCCACATCACTGATCCCCATTTTGTGGCCAGATATTGTCTTTTCAAATTTACCATCATATGCACCCCAAATCTTAATAAGTTTGTCAGCAGCTGAAATAACAAAGAAATGAAATCTCATAGAGCAATAATGCAGTAATGTAGCTTTAAATTATAATTACTATTGTTTCAATGATATCAAAATGTCAAACTGTTGTCTTAAGGCAGCTTGTTTCTACAGTCATATTATAATTTTTATAGGGTCAGCAAGTCCATAAACAGCATTTAGGCTATAAATGAACTGTCTATCTGTTTTCAAATTTTTTCTGGCACTTCATGTGTGAACAAGCACAGGATCCAAATGTTTCTTAGGGCTTATTAGAGCTCATAACTTAGTTTTAGACAAAATTTTAGGGTGCAAATGCTGCAACCCACCCACCTGTGAGAATTAGGGTGAAATTCTCAATAGTATTGTTATCAGCACTATTATAATCACAATGCATGTTGCTTTGCAGCACCAGCACAAATAGACGAAATAGTGGCACCTAATTATAAAGGTTCACTATATACCCTTATAAGCAATAAAAACACAACAAATTACAAATTATGCAGGTGTATTTGTAATGGAAATTATTATGAATAAAGCCCTTCATTGTTGTTTGTAAACATAATGTAATTCATCTATTTATAATTAATTAATATATCTGTAATGTTGATTGAGTTTAAAGCACGATGCCAATGCATGAATTTTGCATGTGTTTTTTGTTTTGCACTCAATGCTGTTTAAATAATTCATACTAACTTCATCCCAGCACTTATATAACCAGGATATGTAGTATCTTGCTCTACTGACTCAGACAGAATTAATATATTTGAATCATAAAATATTTTTTAATTTTACATTAAATAAAATAAAAAAAGATATATTAACTACAACATTTTATTATGAAAACCTAAGAAATCTATTAAATTCTTATTTTAAATCAGAATAATACTTTTACTCAATGCAGTTTGGTACTTCAATCTTCCAAACCTTGCATAATGTAGTAATTGTTACAAACCAAAATAAATGTATTAATGTATTCTGTCTCAAAGACACAAAATTAAAATTCAATTAATTAACCTTTAACCATCTTTTCATTATTTGAACTTTAAGAAATTCAACTCCCTCGTTCAACTGTACAAGCTTCCTTTGTTAATGAATTGTAAAAAAACAGTTACATGGCAGGTGCAAAGTAAAGTTGTTCCTACACTTTTTAATGCAACAAATACATGCAACAGCTTGTCATTTATATCTATAGCCACATAATATTATTTTTAACAACCTTGAAATGATTCACAGTAAAATGAATAATTTTTTTAATTTTAATGAAATAGATAATTTCACTATTTTTTAACATTGCGAAATCAAATTATGGTAGCCATTACTTATATTCTTTAGTAAGCTGTATTTCGATATAGCGTTTACAATAAGTGTGTAGTAATATGGCCGTAAGGTCAACAAAATCTTTGATAATCAACATGTATGCTGACAACATAGACATAAGGTTTAAATTAGCATAAGCTATAACATGTTGATTATTATTAGGATTAATGATTTCATTTTACTGCTGTTACTTTAACAAACGATACGGCCGATTATTTTAACATTCAATTAGCAACAAGTGTGTTCCGGTTTCCCACATTGCCATATAATTACAAATGTAAATAAACTTGATAAAACTAAATTAACAAGCGTGTTATATTTACTGTACTTACAAGAGCTAGCCAGCCATTCTCCATTTGGACTGAATTTTACCGATGACACAGCCTTTGTATGACCAGCGAGAGTGAATTTGAGGGTATAGTTCGGCTTCTGCAATCCGATATCAAAATTAGCGCGAAATCGCACGTGCTCAACTTGAAGTTACATAAACATGTGCCGCCCGCCAGACTGACGCAAACGGTTGAAATCGCAACAAACTTAAGATGCTTACCGCCACTGAAGACTTGTTTGACTGTGGAGCAGATTGTGATAATGAATTTGGACCGGATAAGCTGGCTGAAGGGCCACCGTGAGTTTGATGTGCAGCAGGGTGGCCTGGCACGGGACCTAGCGGCACCATGTTTCAACTATCGACGCACTACGTTATATGTATTCGTCACCCCACACAATCACTATTACACACAGAATAACAAAGTAAATGAAAGTTTCGACAAATTAAAAAGTTTTGTACTTCGCGCAGTCTCTTTTTTTCATTTAGTTCAACGTAGATTTTAAAAGAACATTCTAAATCCGGGCGTCCCAATGCGTGCATAATGTTGCCAAGACACTTTTGAAATTTACATATGACAATGTTAACATACTTGTGGAAAGTTTTTAAAAACATGGGAAAAGAAAATTATGTATTATGTGGAGAACGTTATTTTAAGAACATCGTATAAATTGAACCTTTCAAAATTTTCGAAAAATTGTTCCTATTAATTGATTTAAATTTCTGTAATGATCGTCCCGAATTAGTAAATAACAAGTATTTTGAAGTCTCTTGGTGTTGATGTTTTCCATTACCTTCTTCCATTCCAGTCCACTATTATGTAAGTCCTCTAAGCCAGATAAATCATCACTTGAATGCCTATTACCCTCAAGCAAAAGGACAATCTATTTCCTTCAGTATCAGGAATAATATATTCAATATCGGTACGACCAAGGCATAATACAAGTAGCAGTTATGTAATCGTCATGGCCCTTGATACGTAATGACCAAATCTCCTAATAAACTTTTAGTTCTGCTGTTGAAAACTATTACATAATTATTAATAGCTCATGAGCCCAAATTAGTCCTTTTCAAAGATATTCACGAAGCAGCTGCTGGAGCTGTTAGGTATTCGAGCAGTTTTACGATAACTACAACTACCTTCTCCATAATATAATATGATAGTACCACAAATTCATAAAGTTTTTGTGGTTTATGTTTAAGGTTAATTTACCATACCAAACCATTCTGGTGACCTCATCATAGAGTTTATGGTGAAAAGCGTATTTTTAAATTGATTGAAAAATGATTCCACACAAAATTAATATCAACTGGCACTTGGCGAGCTGACTTCCAAAGACTCCCGAAATTTTAGGAAATTAGTAAGAATAGTAATTGTGCTTTTTTCACAACTGACGCAAACATTGTCAGAACTGCCAACCAAAAAATACTACTAGAGAATCCTTTCTTCCGGCTATTTTGTCAAATCATTAAAAAAAAATTCAATTTAATAATCGAAACATCAAAAAGTGTCGTCTTTACCGACAAAAACCTTTAAAGTTCTTAACTTTATCCACCAATAGATATATTGGTAACAATTTAAGACTTTTTGGCGGGAACACGAGGAGTGAAGTTGTGTGATTTGTTTTATTTTGTCTAATTAGTGTTTGTTCAGGTTTAAATGTGTAATAACGGTGGTTTATTGACTGTTTAGTGTTTTTGAAAGTGCACAAATGTGGGAAAATGAAACAAAGCCGCTGAACGTAACTACTCGGGATCTTCCAAAAAATCCACATCTGAAAAAGTCTGAGTAAATGACCACCATTTTACTGAGATTATAGTTCATCCCATATCATATCATCTCATCTCATTTCATTTCGTTTTCATTTCATTTCATGCCATATTTCATAATAATCAACTTCATTTCATTTCATAATATCATTTTCAGATAAGAAACTTACGTATCATTAGAATTAAAATAAGACTTGACCTAAAAGTCTTAGTTACCAGGTCATAAAAAAAGTAATAATTTAATGCTATGGCAACAAAGTTTGACCTCTTTGACATTCAAAATTCACAATTTTGTCAATTTCTCTGCACAGGAATTTAAAAATTTCTCGAAAATTACCTAAGACAAAAAGCTTCGAAGAATCAAAAAGAATTTAACTTTCTACTTAGAATGGCTTTAAACAAATTAAGTATTGATGCACTTAACTTAACCGGCAAAAGAGTTCTAATGCGGTGTGTACTTATTTAACAATCAAAGTTGTTTCAAACTCTGAGCACTTCTTATATTTACTAAGTATCTTGAATTTAATGTCATTTTAGTGTGGATTTCAATGTACCGCTTAAAGAAGGAGTGATTACAAACAACCAGCGCATTGTAGCTGCCTTAGATTCCGTTAAATATGCTTTGGATAAAGGCGCTAAATCAGTTGTACTTATGTCGCATTTGGGTAGACCGGATGGCCAGGTAAATCTCAAGTACACCCTCAAACCAGTCGCTGAAGAGCTAAAAAAATTGCTGAACAAGTAAGTGTTTAAAAGAATTAGTTCTAAATATTAACACCTACATTACTGTTCGACATATCGTATCATAGTAATAAATTTGGAAACCTAATAGATTCTGATGTGAGTACACCAGTGAATTGAGTGATAGGCTATGTTATAGCCAAGTACTCGACTTAATTATAAAGTTTTGAATAAGAGTATTATTGCTTAAATGGAAATTGTGTGCCTGTAGCAGCAAGTAAACCCTCAAAAACTTAAAACCAATGAAGTATGATGAAATTAAATTGAAATTAAATTAATTGTTACAGCTACTTGAAAATTCTTTCTCATTCAAGCAGATAACTTGAGATCCAAGAAATAAGGTTTTTATATAGGGAAAAAAGTAACAAGTTAAAACTATTAATTTTGTCTTTCTTGTCTCATTCATTGAATAGATTTTATACAGAGAAAACCATGCAAATATTTTCTAATTTCACATTTGTAATATTAGGTGATATTACTAAATGCATAAACACTGATTCCAATCTAAATTGGAAAACAAGCCTGAATATGTGTGAACCTTGAAAATGTGACAGAAAATAACATACATATTTATTTTGGCTATCTCACGTGTATCATCTGAACATGAAAAGGGCAAGATTTGGGCATGTGATATGCCTTAACAGCCAACATAGATGACGATGTGAAAAACAAGGAGTGCTCAGATGAGTTCCTGCTAAGTTTCTTTTTTTTAATGGTCATTTTCAACAATAGCTATTCTTAATTTAAATTATAATCTGTAAATTAAGACAAATCACTTATAAAATTATCAAATAAAACACACATGGACAACCCTTAAATTGTTAAGAACAATGAAGCTCCAATATTAATATTTTACAATTTTAACTAAATCATTGGTAACAATGCCAAAACTATCTAGTGATAAAATCACAACTAAAAATACAAAGGTGAAATATAATCCCAAGGGACCTCCTTACTAAGATTAAAAGTATCCTATGTATTAACCAGGATATGATGTGTCTATGACCAAATTTTACTTAAATTTAGTAAATGGTTTAATTCTAATTAAGTTAGAAACATTCAAACAACTTCACATTTCATAATATTAGTAGGATTTAAACTTCATTAAATAAAACTTTACAGGGATGTGACATTTTTGAATGACTGCATAGGCCCGGAGGTTGAAACAGCATGTGCTAATCCTTCAGCTGGTTCAATTATCCTACTGGAGAATCTTCGCTTCCACATTGAAGAGGAAGGCAAAGGTGTAGATGCTTCAGGTGCTAAAGTGAAGGCTGATCCAGAAAAAGTTAAAGCCTTTAGGGCAAGCTTGAGAAAACTTGGTGATGTCTATATTAATGATGCTTTTGGTAAGTATAGTGATGAATTATTAAGAATTCTCACACTGTAAAAGGTTAAAATCCTTTCTAACTGGTATCTGGTACTGAATTGTGTACACAACACAGATAACCACTCTGATACAACCAATGTATCTAGTAAAAAAAAACTGTCTCTTAACATTAAAATGTAAACAAATTTAGAATATGCTTTTTGGTTCATTCTGTTACTTGAACACTCTTGGTAGTTAATAACCTATCACATACAGTGTAACTAAGAGCCAGCAGGACTTTCCATTCAGCAGTTTTTTTTTGCCTCTTTATGAAAAATTAATGTGAACTGAGTGACTGTACTCAGGATGATAAAAAAAAACCCAACTTATTTACTCAGGAAACTCAATACATGGTGTATTTCTAACAGTTACAAATTATTCTATAAACAGGTACTGCACATAGAGCGCACAGTTCAATGGTGGGAGAAGGTTTTGAGCAGAGGGCCAGTGGTTTCTTACTAAAGAAAGAGCTTCAATACTTTGCCAAAGCTTTACATGAACCTGAGAGGTAATTGCATTATTTAAAAAACGAATGAGAATTACTGTCTGATAGACTTTACATAGTAAATAGGCTATTGAAATTGACTATGTAATACTTCCACTCAACTTCGCAAGATAATGTCACATAAAAGACGTTATTAGATAACACTAAAATAAGAGAAAATTATAATTCTTTTATTACTGAACAATAATGAATATTAGTGAAGTTGTCATGGCCTAAAGCATGAGATATTTGTTGCTTTTGTATACTGATGTAACAGTGTTCGAATCCTGCAATCATGTACCAATTTTTCTAATGAAATTGATGACCGATTGACTTCCACTGTGAAGCTATAACATCATGTAATAAAAATCAAACCTGCAAATTTATAATTTGCGTAATTACTGGTGGTAGGACATCTTGTGAGTCCACCATCCTGCCTATTTCTGCGTGGGGCAGTCGTTGTACTGACTTAGAACTGAGACCTTAGAATACATGTCTCAAGGTAACCACTTAACACCAGGTGGCCGTGGACCTAGTTCACCCATCTAACAAAAAGAAAAATAATAAAAAAGACATGAATAAAGCTCTCTTATAAATTTGAAATTATCTAAATGCATGAATAAAAACCATATACAAATTGGTTTATCAGTGGCACAATCTGTGATAATTGGTGTGCAACAAAAATAAAATGACTATGAAACTAACATTATATGATAGATTAATTATACTGAAGAGATATAGTTTTTAATCTGTACCTAAATAAAATACAATTTTTGTCAATACTATTTAAGGCCCTTCCTGGCTATCCTTGGTGGAGCTAAAGTAGCAGACAAAATCTTACTTATAGAAAACCTGCTTGATAAAGTAAATGAAATGATAATTGGAGGGGGTATGGCATACACATTCTTGAAGGAAACCAAAGGAATGCCGGTAAGATGTATACATATGTAATATATTGTAATGATGTAATGAAAAACGGACACTTTTTATCACTTTGCTATGCTGCAACCTCTCAGACAGCAGATCTTTTCTGTATTAACAGATTTAAGGGTCAACTTCTAGATTTAACTTAAATATTCGAAAAAACTGTAACTGTAAACTGTTCAAAATTATCAATCAGAATTATTCTAAAGTTTTATTCCTAAAATACAAAATCTTATACATAAAACTGATAATTATCCAATATTTTCTTAAACAAAATACTACATTAATGCAGTTGTATAGTGTAGAGAATTTTAGTTTGGAAGTGTGATTAGTGTGGTATTTGTCCCCAATTATTTACTAACAACTTCTATTTAGATTGGTAATTCCCTGTATGACGCTGAGGGTGCTAAAATTGTGACAAAACTATTGGAAAAAGCTGAGAAAAACAATGTTAAAGTTCACCTGCCTGTTGATTTTGTGACAGCTGATAAATTTGATGAAAATGCCTCGGTAAGTTAATTTCATTGTATAGCCATATGCGCGAGCTGAATGTCTACCTGCTATTAAGTGGTTACTGGAGCTTAGAGACATCACAACGTGAATGCCGCCGATCACTTTGAAACCACGTTGTAAAACATATCATCCCAGTATAATATGTACTATCATTTAAATGGGACCACATAGACATGGTGGTAGTACCTACACATGCTACATCCCACGTTACCCTTTCACTAATAATTATACAAATTAAAATGTATGCGAGTTTAATTTATATTACACGATGTTATATATGTGTATTATTATAATATATATTCCTACATTGTTGAATTAATATATGAAAACATGTTAAATATGAATTCCATTAGAAAAAAATTATAGCTGCTTGAGGAACTTGAACACCAGAATAGTTGCATAGCTCGAGTTTATTGATTTATAGTTGTTATTAACGACCCGCCCTCGCTTCGCTTCGGAAACATTAAAATTTATTATTGATAGTTGAGTCCCGCGATGCTACCCACGGTTATTGTCGTACCGCGGATGACGCCGCGGTACGACAATAAGCTAGTCTAAAAAACGTAGCCTTAGTTACTCCTTATATCATCAGCTACCTGTCAGTGAAAGTCCCGTCAAAATCGGTCAAGCCGTTCCAGAGATTAGCCGGAACAAACAGACAGATAGACAGACACACAAAAATTGTAAAAAATGTTATTTTGGTGTATGTACCGTATATATATTCATAAGCATGTAGTAAAAAGCGGTTATTTCAATATTACAAACAGACACTCCAATTTTATTTATATGTATTGATAATGTTATCAATAATAATTTGGGCTGTTTTATTAGGTGGGAGAAGCTAATGTAGAAACCGGAATTCCTGATGGATGGATGGGACTCGATGTTGGACCGAAATCACGAGAGCTCTTCGCAGATCCTATTGCCAGAGCTAAAGTTATTGTGTGGAATGGGTGTGTATGAAAAACTTTGTACTTATTATTGACACAATATTTTAAGGATTGCTAACTGTTTTTTTTGTCTTAACCATTATATCTTCAGTACATCGAAATTCTGTTTTTTTTTAGACCTGCTGGCGTGTTTGAGTTTGAGAAATTCGCAGGTGGAACCCGAGCCATCATGGATGGTGTCGTAAAGGCTACATCCAATGGAACCGTCACAATCATTGGTAAGTACATTAAGTCATAAGGGTATTTGTCCCATGGTGTCCAGTTCTGCCTTTAAATGACACATAAAAAACATAGTTGAGAGTTCCTACTAGTAATTTATCCACCTAAGTCGTTTTATTAATTTTTTTATTCAGGTGGTGGTGATACTGCAACGTGTTGCGCCAAGTGGGGAACAGAGGACAAGGTCTCGCACGTCTCTACTGGCGGTGGAGCTTCTCTGGAGTTACTCGAAGGTAAAAAAATATTTGATAGAAATCTTGATTTGTCACTAGAAATGTATAAAATTGAGAAATTGTCCGGTCATCGTTCTCGTCGAACCCATCGCTTGCGACGAAGGCCTCGACGAGTAAATTAACTCACAGACATAGCCCACTGAGTTTCTCGCCGGATCCTTTCAGTGAGTCGCGTTTACCATCCGGTGGTAGATTCTGCGAAGCACGGCTCTTGCTGGGGTTCGTGTTAGCAACGTCGTCAGGTTTGAGCTCCGTGAGCTCACCTATTAGGGTTACGCTGAAATAGCCTCTCAAGGCTATCAGCATAGGCAGGAAAAAAAAAGAAATTGACAGCTGTTGTTACTAAAGTCCGAAGGCAAAGGCGAAATGAATCTTCATTTTTTATACTATGATATTGATATACTCAGGATTGGATCGCAAACAGTTAGGACTCTCAAATGATTTTAGTATATTTACTACGCAAGATTGGTATTCCATGGTGGTACGACAAACATACAATTCTACTTCCTACTGTATTACTTACCTTTATATAAAACAAGAAGCCCACTCATCATCATCTCAGGTTACTGGTGGTAGGACACCTCTTGTGAGTCAGCGAGGGTAGGTACCACCGCCCTGCCTATTTCTGCCGTGAAGCAGTAATGCGTTTCGATTTGAATGGTGGGGCAGCCGTTGTAACTATACTTGAGATCTTAGAACTTATATCTCCCAAGGTGGGTGGCGAATACGTTGTAGATGTCTATGGGCTCCAGTAACCACTTAACACCAGGTGGGCTGTGAGCTCGTCCACCGATATAAGCAAAAAAAAAAACAGATCATCTCAAACAATTCCTCAGAGCACTCCCCATACGTGCGGTAGGTGAGGTCACGAGGCTCGAACCGGTACGACTTGCTAATACTGGCCCTAGCAAAAGCGGTGCTTCGATGAATGTCCCACTGGAACGGAATAGCGACCAACTGAAAAGATCCGATGAGAAACTCAATGGGTTGTCTCTATGAGCTAGGTTGCTCATAGAACTCTTCACACACATTCGACCAGTTCGACGAGAACGTTGACACAATTTCAAATGATGTATTTTTGTTAACAGGAAAAGTGCTTCCCGGTGTTGCCGCTCTTTCAGATGCATAAATCAATAAAACATGGTAGTAGTAATATTTATTTAGGCCTTAAACAAAACACACTTTGTTTAAGACAACAAATATCGAAAGTAATGTGCAAATAACTGTATTGTGAAAGCTTTTCTATTTTGTAAGTGAAAGTGCAATATGTACGACTATGACTATGGAAATTATAAAATTATGTAAGAAAATAAATAAATTTTGATTTTGTGTTTCTACATGCATTTTTATTTGATTAAAAAGGACCGATAATGTGGTCAGCCTTGCAATTAAAGTTACCCCTTATATTATTTATAAAATAATATGTTTATGAGTTAATGAATTTTATCTGTGATCGTGATTGTTAGTAAATATATATATTTTTTTTTATGCGTGTATCTACACCGGCCTCCTTTAATAAATAAATAAAACTATTCTAATATATAATACAAATAGTATTATTAAATTTTGATTTCATATTACTTTAGGCCCAATTGCATTATCTCTGATGTGTTGCGTCCCGCGAGTAATGACTGTTTCAAGCCGTTAAGAGGAAATAAGTGGAGGCCAATGTCTAGAACTCAATAATAAAGCAATATGCGGTAGGTTTTCAGAACACTAATGTATATTGCAGTAATTAAGAATTAATGAAAGAAAAAAAAAGTTAATTATACATACATGTTTCCTTCTATAAACCATCTGGTTTCAGGTACCATAGATATTAATTTCATTATGAACCTCGAAATGTGCGGTCGAAACCTCAATTTCATCGGAATAGGTACATACATAGTATCAATAACCCCTTGATCCTTAAAAAGCTTATTGAATTGAAGGATTTGCAGTAATTATACCGGTATTTACCAGTTCTTTTTTGAATTTTTCATTCTATGATAATGCTAAGTCCATTTAATATTATGTTTATACTAGCATGTTATTGTAGAAAAAGAATGAAAAATAAGCTCGTATTTTTATTACCTATATACCTATACCTCGTAATTTTTTTCGCCAATGACGTCATGTAAAGCATTTCTGACAGAAATTTTAGTCACGCACGAAAAATGAATCACAGCATATTCTGATTCAATTCGATAGTATATTCAGAGTGCACACTGAACGAACAGTTAGAGAGATTGCCTGACCGTTTTTTTTTTTCGTACTATCGCATCAAATTTTCCGTCTGAAATAGTAGGTGACTTTAAAGAGAAATCGTTTATATATTTCCTCTATACAATTTTTTTTATCTTTTTAATCTTTTAATCTGACTTGAACAGCAGATGCGTCTACAGTGTTTATTTTTCGAATAAACGAAACATCTGTGGCCTGAAAACATGACAAGACGTCCAGAATACTCATATCGATCGATGTGCCTATAGACAGGAGTTGATGACCCTCAAGCTAGTACAATTTTATAAAAAATATTCTCATTTAACACTTGCCCACGAACAAATTCTGCGCTATTTTAAGAAAAAGGTGTAGTAAAAGTCAACCACCGTCAAACTTGGTAATAGGTCTAGTGAGACCGTGCGAATAGGTACCGTGTTTATTTGTGACGTGTGCTTAGTGCGGGTTTTTTAACGTTCTCGATAGCGTAAAATTTAACCCACTTTTGTACGCAGTTGGAACAGAGCCCCTAACGGCAAACGTAGGCAAACGATCCCATTCCATACAAATATGAGCTAACTTTTACGCTATCGAAAACGTTAAAAACTCGCACTAAGCACACCGTAAAGCAGTATTGCGTGTGGATTTGAAGGGTGGGACAGCCATTGTACTATAAACAGACTTAGAACTAATGTCTCAACTCAATGTGGTTGGAGGCTTTTTTTGTTGATATCTATGGGTGCCACTATTATAACCACTTAACACTAAGTCACAGCCCGTGAGCTCATCCGGATATCTAAATATAAAAAACGTTTTGTGTTCAAGTTTCGATGTCTATGGTACAACTCAACCAAGCTAAGTTTGCACCTCGCTGGAATGCGGCGCCCCGCCCGCTTTCCCGCTCACCTTCCCGCGATCGCCCTGTCGCGTCAGTACGGTTAGATCTTTGTTGCCGACACGCGACATACGAGTTTTCGTCTCGCTATCCGTTGAATTTTAAATTTTTTAACTGTTCTTGTTAGGTTTTTTGTAGAAGTTTAGTTTTCTTATTGGACTATTTTTATTAAGTTTTTGTTGAACTGTTGTTACTGAACGGTTAACGTTCATTTTTTTTAACTTCGACAGGATTGTGGGCAACAAAAATGAAAGGAAAGGTGGGCGATACACAGCGAAGGGAGAAACATAATCCTGAAAAAGAAACATAAAGGAAAATTATTACTGAGCAAATGGGATACAAATTTAAAAAGTGCAAGAACAACAACAAAACCCGATATCGCTATATTCTAATGTACCTACGTAAAATATATTGTTAAAGACAATGAATGCAAAGTAAAATCTAACAAAGATTTGTTTACATTTTTAAAGTCATAGCGTATCCTTTTTTCAGACCATACCTAAGCGGCAATGTGACGTAATCGATGCGAGGTGCAAACTTAGCTTGGTCGAGTTGTAAACCCCTAATAATATATTTTAACTGAAGCGTGACATAGTCAATCCATGTAATACATTTATAACTACGAACATCAGATACGGATCGGATTTCCTTATGTCCACGAATGAGTGCTTTTCTTTTAAATTAAATCAGGTACACACAGATACAGAAAAACTAGTGATGTAAAAATTCTCTAATTTATAAATAGATTATTAAGGTTGCATACTTTTTGCATTCTCTAAATAATCCACTGAAATATACTTTAAAGGTCTTTGAAATAATCAAAGCGTTCGGTAGACGTCAGTTATTGTCACTTATTATTCTTTGTTTACCTGTAGTTTACCTACGTAAGTGGTATAGCCAACTTCTTCCTGACACTCAGCTATGTCAACATGAGTCATTTAGTATGTAATTTTAGTTGTTTATTTGTTAAGTGTATACTAAAACACATCTTTTAAATTTAATTAGGTACTTAACTAGTAGGTATAGTATAAAAGGAAACAGGACAGGAAAGGTAGATGGCAAACGTCCCAGAGGACGCAGTCCCACGCGATGATCGGACCAAATACGATCTTCTCTAAACATCAACTTCCACAATGCCCTTCATGAAGCTAAGGATCGCAGCAGATGGAGGGGAATCGTCGGGAGAAACTTATGCAGCGGGGGAGTCACGACCCTCAATATTTAAGGAAAACGACGCGAGGAAGAAGATAGTATAAAACTTTCTTAAATATTCATAGCCCCCGTTCGTAAATATGCTCAGAGATAAAGTGTGGGAGGCATAATCATTCTCTTTTCATAATATATTATCTTTAGTTCCCTATTAAAAAGCTAGATAAACATTAAGTAATTTATTATTAATGCTATTCTGGCTTTTAGACTTTTATCATATTGACTTCTTAAATTTAGCTCATTAGAAATGCTTGGGACCATTAGCGATTTGATGTTTCATAATTCACAGTTTTTCCCTTAGTTTGCCTCCAAAAATACGCAGCGTACAATTTATCTCGAAAAACTGGCACTTATATCCGAACGCAAGAAAATAGTTTGAAACGTTTTTGTCGATGCTTTTAGTATCTATTTTTAAATCTCCCTTGGGAAGTGAATTTTAAATAAAAGTACCGAACACACTAATGTTTTGTATTTATCGAACGTGGATTTTTTAACAAAAAAAATCGTAGTGAGAAAACATTCAATTAACAAGTGTTAGGTAATATAAATGTTCTATAAAGAAACAATACACTTGAAATTAAATAAAACTCATCGATTTCTTACTTTCAATAATTTATTGGATATAAAATCCTGTTTTATTTTTTCATCGGACACTGACTCTGTTCGTTTTCATTTGTCATTGTTACATGGTCGTATATCATGTCCGATTTTTTTCCTACTTATCCTGATAGCCTTGAGAGGCTATTTCAGCTTCTCCGGGACGTGTAGGTGAGCTCACGGGGCTCAAACCGGGAGTGTTGCTAACACTGGCCCTAGCAAGGGCAGTGCTTCGCAGAAACTACCACCGAATCGGAAACGCGACCCACTGAGAAGATCCGGCGAGAAACTCGGTGGGCTGTGTCTACGGGTTAATTTACTCGTCGAGCCCTTCGTTGCAAAACGACGGGTTCGGCGAGGTCGATGACCGGTGCTTGAGGTACCTAAAAGCACCGTTAATCGATCGGGAGGATCCGTAATGACGTGTTTAGGGCGACGTCGACTGTTAACCATTCGGTCCATAGGATACGCGACCTTTATCTTTGTAATTAAAGGTGCGTTTTATTTGGTATTAGCATCAACAGTTCGAGGTGTTTAGTTGTTTAATTTAGTTTCAATTAAGTTTACTCCATTGAAATTGGATTGAATATTTTTTACGAATTTTAAACTTTAAATGGCTCTCCTGTAAAGTTGCAAAAATGCTGCTTAAACCAAATAGCATTTCACTCCTGGATATAGTAAAGGTTTTCTCAAGTGTACGCTGGCAGAATCAATCTGTACCTACATATTCAATAGATTCACCCTTCGAATACATTAACATTTACATGTATTAGGGACATATCCCGGGGGACTGTGTTTGCGTCCGTCGTTAAATGTTAACAATGGAAATTTCGCAAACTGTAAGCTCCAGTATATAACTAGAGACGTAGTCGCATTAGCCAATACTATACCAATATTAAATAAAATAAAAAAATACTTTACTTTTGATGTAGTTGACTTAATCTAGCCAATAACAGAAATATCTATGAAAAAAAACATGGTTCTTCCTTCATCAAAAATCATCATCAACAGCCCACAGTCGTCCACTGCTGGACATAGGTCTCTCCCAATCCTTACCACTGAGCCCGGTCTGCGGCTCTCCTCATCCACTTCTTGCCGGCCACCGTGCGGAGGTCATCGCACCACCTAGCCATTATTCTTCCTTAAATAGGTCAAATGTTTTTAATCGTAATTTTGGATATTATATTACTAGAAAACTATTATTATATATTAATAATAACAGCAAGACAATTGTAAACTAAAAAAGTAAGAATTGTGTATTATTGTCGGTATTTGTTTCAAATTACTTTTCTGTCGATCGCAAAAAAAGATTATTAATTGGCGAGTAATTATAAGCTGACGTTATACAGTAGGATAAGAACATATAGATATTTTTTCAAATTACGTTAAATCACAAACGAGTATATTAAAACACTGTCTGATAAAACAAATATTCCATCACTCAAGCTGCGTCAAACTTGGTCCTTTCAGTATTAAAGTATTCTATATTCTAAACTACCAGTATCATAAGATAAATGTATATTATATAATATATAAAATATATAAATATAATATATAAAAAGCAATGAGCGATAAACTGTAAAAATTAAGTCTTTTGTTATTTGACAATGTCCATAAATCCATTTTTGTATAAAAATTAATATTGTTGAATCCTTTTTACCATTTTTTAAGAGTGAATAAAGACTGGAAACTCAGTTAAGCATTTTTTTTATACACCAGTCATATTGACTGGTTATGGTAGAAATACGTATATTTAAATGGCTGGTAAATCTAGTGTTAATTTATAAGGTCAAGTTCACTTTGTCAAAGCCTCTTTCGTGTAACATCTCTCGAGCTGCGAGGTGATTATATTCTTTGATTTACCAAAGTCTGTTTCATGAATCCTTGGTGACGTGTGTTAAACCAGGGTAAGTGTTTTTGAGTTATTTTCCACACTGTGTCCACAAACTTTAATTAAATAAAATTTAAGACATAATTGTGTCTTGATACGTAAGTCCTTATAACTGGTACAAAATATGTATCCAGTTAGGGTGCGGAGCGTGACCTTCTGATCACCTTCGGAATCCCATAGCATCTTTCGGACGCTGCCAGAAGCGGGGAGCTCTAGCAAGTCGGTCCAAGGAAGGCTGCTTGACTTCGGTAGACATAGAACACACCCGCATTCTCAGCCTCGCTCACAGACAGCAACCCCGGTTGCTGGGAAGTGATCCCGGTGAAGAGTATTGTTTTTTTTTAATTTGCAGTAAAACTTTCTCGAGTGTTCGGTGTATCTACCGACACACCATCTGTATTCATTTTAATATTGTAACTGTTTTAACCTCTCACTAGTATCTTATAACTACGAGGGCGGCACTGAAAATTTCGGGAATTAACGAAGTGACACAACATTACTATTTAAAAATGTATTTATTGCTTTTCGAAGTATTCTCCGCGAAATTTGACACATTTTTCCATACGATGGAACCAATCATTGAAGCAACCATTCCATTCGGAATTTGGGGTCTCCAAAATGGCCGTTTTGTAGGCGTCCACAGCTTCTTCAGGTGATGAAAATCTCTGTCCACGCAATTTATTCTTTATTGTAGGGAAAGTATAGAAATCATTAGGGCTTAGGTCGGGGCTGTACGGCGGATGGTCTAATAATCCTATGTTTTCTTGCTCTAAAAATTATTTTGTTCTGTGCGCGGTGTGAGAACTCGCATTGTCGTGATGGAGGATGATGCGGCGGTTGCAGTTCTCTTTACGGACTTCAGAAACGACCTGTGGCAAACAAATGCTAGCATACCATTCTGCATTAACCGTTCTTTGTTCCTCAAGAGGAATAGTCGTAACATGGCCGGTTTTGGAGACAAACGTGGCCACAATTTTTTTTTTTGCAACACTCCTTGAACGAACAATTTTTGTTGGCTCATTTTCGAACACCCAAACTCGTGACTGATTTTTTGTTTCGAGTTCGTACGCGTATATCCAGGATTCTTCACCTGATACAATGTTGTATACAGCATTTGAGGATCCTGCGTGGAATCTTTCGAGAGTTCTGACGCACCAAGTAACGCGAGCCGCTTTTTGCTCTTCACAGAGCGAATGCGGTATCCATCGGGAAAACAATTTTTTTACACCTAATTGCATGATTGATGAATTCATGCAAGATTATTTGTATTTGACTCATGGCAATGTCTAAAGTTGCCTGAATTTTGTGGTATGTCACATGTCGATCTTCCTCAATCAGCTTACGCACAGCATCAACGTTTTCTTGGGTGACTGCAGTTTTGACATTGACGGGGATCATCACTGAGCTTGACACGTCCACGTTGAAACTCAGCAAACCAGCGATAAATTGTGGTTTTGGATGGGGCTTCACCACCAAATGCAGAAATCATCCGGTCAACATACTGTTTTTGTGTTAAACCACTTCGAAAGTCATAATAAATCATCGCTCTTGAATTTTCTCGAGTCAATTCCATTTTCTCAACGACTAAACAAGTTTGACAAAACCTCGTGACAAGACCGAGAATCTTTTTTAAAATAAATAAATGGAATTCGATTTTTAAAACCAAGGAGTTTTCAATTAAAAAGATTTTAATATGACAGGAACAGTGGAAATATTCCATTCCCGATACTTTTAGTGCAGCCTAGTATTATTGTAATTTAGCTTATTTTATGTTTTAAATATCTGTGTCCAATAAACACAATATTGTTAATTGTAATTTGTTTCTTTTATTGGTTTAAGTCTCCCAGAGCGGTGGTGGCGCCCTGAGATCCTCTTCAAAGAGTCTCTTGTTCACCCGTTGTCTACCGGTGGTGACGTGTCTAGAAGTGGTGCGACTCGGCCCCATGTCTCTCGACCCATAGACCACCTTTTGGGGAGTGACGCGACTGGGCCTCATGTAACATCGGCATGCCCAGGGGCACCCTCAGACACAGACACGCTATAACTATTGGCAGATAAATTTTAATGTAATTTGACATTTCACGTCGCCGCCTATATGTGGAGTCCGCTGGGCTGACACCGCACCATGCACTCTGTTGAGACACACTCTGTTGATAATTTATTTCAAATGGATTTGTTTCTGGCACCTGATACACCTTGAAACCTTCTTCAGGTCAACGGAGGGAATTTAGTTCTCTGTGTGTTTTGCACAATATGTTTCATGGGGAGCTTTATGAAAAATTGTTCGAGATGAACTATCCATCATCTTTGTACCATTGCACCTTTCACCATTGGAGCAAATTACATCAGAACTGTCTAGAAGCGCTGCGTTCATCCACATATTATTTCTACAGTGCGAATCCAGAGTTTTTTGGCTTGTACAATACGACTCTAGAATAGACTCCCCTCCATGGTATTTCCCGAGCGCTATGACATGTTTTTTTTCAAACGAGGTTTGCTAATAGCTCTACGATTAACAATAGCTTAGGCTCAGGCCTTTGATGTTGCTGACGTCCATGAGCAACAGTAACTACTCACCATACTCGTGAAAGGAAAAAAAAACGCAGGTAAAATCTTAACTGTACGCTGTTCAATGCGGAGCGTTCACATTAATTATATTTAACATTAATATATTTGGTAAAATCCCAACTGTAAGCGGTTCACTGCAGAAGTTCACTTATTTCTGTCGTGAAGCAGTAATGCGTTTCGGTTTGAAGGGTGGGATAGCCGTTGTAACTATACTGAGACCTTAGAACTGATATCTCAAAGTGAGTGGCGCATTTACGGTGTAGATGTCTATGGGATTCAGTAACCACTTAAGATCAGGTGGATTGTGAATCCCGTCCACTCATCTAAGCAAAAAATAAATAAAAAAAAGATGTGTAGTGTCGTGGGACACCGGTAGGCACCGGCTTGGCTCTATCCCTGGCATCAGGTGGTCCGCATGGTCGTCTGCCTACAGGGCAATAAAAAAAAATAGGAAAGAAGTTCCTTATTATAAAAATATTAATTTTAAGTTCTATTCGAGGTATAAAGAAAATAATTATTCGGGTATAAATACTGTATTACGATTTTTTTATTGATAAAAATAAATAAAACTACTGTACTTTAGTTATCAACTTTATTTTATTCACAATTATTTATAAAAAATATATAATAATAATATAAAGAGAAACAGCTATTTATATGAATAATAATAATAATAAGCGTCATCACGTAGACTATACATTAGACACTGTATAGCCATCAATCATATTAAGACTATACTTAAATAATAAAAATCTTACGTTACGGACGAACTTCGTTCCAAAAAATATATATTTGACGGCGTTAACTTACATATTTATATTTAGCATTAATATATTTAATATTAAGTGAGTTACATACGATTATAATACTATTCTGTAATGGTTAAATTTAATACATACTCTACGGCGAACAAAATTGCCGCACTGCAATACCGACTTTTATATGAAGCAAAGAAAGGTGTGTGTTTTCACACACCTGTGACATGATTGAAGTCTCAATCGTGTCGTTCTCCCATCATACTTAAACCGAAACTCAACGGACTGCTTTGTGACAGATATAGGTTAGTAGTAAAAGTATCATTTTCAGAGCAAAATCTACTCTCGAAGACTGCACGAAAAAAAATCAAACAAACCCATAAGCAAATCAACAACGTCATTGACGGCTAACACAATAGTCTAAGTTTTTATACCTAGACATTTCCATAGTACACCCAGATACATTTCTGTTACAATTTAAAATATTTTATTAATTAACGACACTTTCTATAAGCTTAACAAACAAATTGAAGCAAACAATATTAATAAATACAATAAATTTATTTAAATAAACAGAAGCTTAAAATGAAGTTTCAGAAAATGTACAGAAATTGAAACTGCATTTGGAAAGTATGTTTAATATCGAAAGAGAAAATCGAACTGAACTTTATTGACATTTTATCAGTCGCAAGTAAACAGTTTGTTTTGCTTTCATGAATGAACTTCAAAGTAAATTAATAACTGTACCAAATCAAATGATACTGTCATGACTTTTGTGAAGGTTGTTTTTTCTTTGACACGCCTTCAGCAATCATAGCAACACTGTACCTACCTGGGAAAAATACGGTGTGCTTATTGATCGAAAACACGCGCAGGCGTCTCAACTGGTGTCCTGGATTTAATTAACCAAAATAAAATTGTTTGCAACTACAATGTTTTTCTTTCATTCATTCAATTAAATATACAATAACAAATATAAAAATTAAAGTAATATGAAATTGAAAAAAAAGAACGGCGCAACAAACCCTCTCAGTTTGAACATTGCGTTTTATCGGTCTTTATTTTCCAACAGCGTGAGCTTTGGTCCAGTTGGCGAGGGTCCGCGCATGCCTCGTACAGCTTGTGAGGTTCTATCAAAATAATTGGCGGAATTGTCAGTGATGTAAAGAACAGGCTACGCCGCCGGTGTTCCGGCAGGCGCAAAAACATGATACACTTAATTTTACTAATGTATCCATACAAATAAGACTAAAAAAGCATACGATAATTAAGCTTGATGGTTTATGTCAATTTGTGTAGTGAATGTCCTTGTTACGTAGAGTAATTCGATGAATGAAATATCTCTTAGGAAATTAGCAGGTGAGTAAACGCGAAGGAGTAATTTTGTTTACTTGTACATCTTTTTAATCACTTAAACATACTTACTGTTCTTCTTTGATAATTATGAAATCTATAAAAATAAAGAAATTTTTATCGTATTACATGAAAAAAAAACTGAGGTGCTTATTCATTGTATTTTATAAAATAAATGCCAATATCTGTGTTTATTGTGGTTTTTAGTAGCTTTCATTTTACCATTTTTATCAAACATAAAATAAACACCTGTTTCAAAGGTATCAAACTAAACGGGTAATACATATAAACGTTATGTGATAAAATTAACGTAAAAACTTGATAAACTTAGTAATAGAAAATTAGTTTTTAGTAAGTTAGTGAGTAGATGGATATTTACTACATTTCAGTACCGAAAATCAAGCTAATCTTGTTTTTAACTTCATAAACAATTATGTTCATGTAAGATGATCTAAGTTAATGGTGAAGAAAATTTTGTTGGAGACAGTTAACTAAGAAATAGTATTCGATTTTACGGAAGCTATTTATGTCGTCGTGCTTGATTTCATTAGTACTTTTTTCTGAGTGTCGTCACACATACGAAACAAGAAGATGAATACGTTGACGCAGAATACTAAATACCTTTTTGCAAAGATGTTGCCTGTGACCAGAAGAGGAACCCGAAACTAATAGTCGTAGGTATAAGTAATCAACCAATACACCAACGACCCGATCACATTTCGATTTTTAGAAATATAACGCAGTAAATTGTATAGCATCTAAGTCAAAATATTAAAATTTTTGTTTTGTAAATATTTCCGAATTTAAAAAACGTGATATAGTTGTACATAGTACATTCTATATTCAATATTAAATTAACTCGTTTTCCTCGTAGCTGGTATAGCAATTTCGGAATGCCCGTTAAGTTCATTTCCGAAATAATTTCCCAACGGAACTCATACGAGTAGGTAGGTACTTACATGTATGCAATTCAATATTGGGAAATGATGTTTGTCAGACACTAGTGTTTTTGTAAAATACATTCACAAGATAAATCAAGAGTAAACTATAACTTTTGTGACAAAAACAAACAAAATCTACTAGAATTTTAATTAATTTCCACACAAGTGTAGATTGGTGTAAAGTACCATATTGATTTCATAAATAGCACATCATACTATGAAAATTCCCGAGACAATATCGATTACAAATATATTTTATTTTTTCTATGCACTGCACTAATATAATCCGATAATACTGTTAACAATTTCCTTAATAGTGCAGCCCCAACGTACTACTGCAGCAAACATGTTACGAGCGTACGGAATGGGGTGACAAAATAGGGTGACGTGGACTACAACAGGTCATCATCCGTTTTAGCTATGCAGTCAAACATTACGGCGTTCAACCGATAGTTGTACCATGCATGTTATGCTTTTTTTATATAGCACAGACTTAGGATTGATTTGAAATTTGTTTTAAATTGTTTATTGATAAAGTAGAACAATATTACATTAATAATAGCCATATTATTGAGTTTATATGTCTAAAGATATATTTTTTTAACGAATAATGCTGTAAGGACAAAAAAATAATAAAAAGACTGAATAAAAATAAATAAAGAAACTGACCATGTAGATGAAATAACATATTAAATAAATTTTTTCGGTATTACGAATATACGGTACTTTCGTATTAGCGCCACCGCGGCAAAAATTCGGTAAAACTTTCCTTTATGGTCCGTCGATTTTGGGTCGGGGTAAGTGTTTACCCCCTGCACCATTTCCACCCCGCGGAACCCCATGGTTATGAAGATATTCACGGTTAATGTTTTGAGGTTAGAATAGCACTATTTATTTATATTTTTTTGGATGGACGATGGACGAGCTCACAGCCCACCTGATGTTAAGTGGTTACTGGAGCCCATAGACATCTACAACGTAAATGCGCCACCCACCTCGAGATATAACTTCTAAGGTCTCAGTATAGTTACAACGGCTACCCCACCCTTCGAATCGAAACGCATTTCTGCTTCACGGCGGAAATAGGTGGGGTGGTGGTACCTACCCGTGCGGACTCCCAAGAGGTCCTACCACCAGAGATTACGCAAATTATAATTTTGCGGGTTTGATTTTTATTACACGATGTTATTTCTTCACCGTGGAAGTCAATCGTGAATTTGTTGAAACGTATTTCATTAGAAAAATTGGTACCCGCCTGCGAGATTCGAACACCTTACACTTGTGATTATTTATCATGCGTAGCAGCTGTACGCGGTTTTACAGGCGGGGCATATATTATACAATACAATTGAGACTATAACCTCATTTAGCCAGATAGTTGGCAGCATCTTTCTCGAAGCCTATGGACTCCCAGGCGAGAGGTCGTCTACTCATACCAACAAAAAACAAATATATCTTTTTCCAAAAAACAAGTAATAATGACTCCGTTTTCTCGACTTTAATATTCGTTACACTCATCCTCATTCGGGTCAACGGAAATATTTTCTAAATAAAATTTCCTTTTTTCCTGCTTGCTACAGCAGCATGTTGCTACAAGATGTTCATGATAATATCTAGTATTTTCTCGGCTCGTATAACAACATCTCCGGCAAACAGAAAAAACGTTTATTAGATAGTAAACTTAAGTACAGGCACTTACCTCATGACTGGGGAAGAAATGAGTTGTCTTCGATAATTGGTCGTTAAATGTTTTCGCTTTTTTTTTAACTTTTTTTATTGTTCGTGAAATCTAGCACTGTTGAAACACCAGAGCGGCGTCTGCAGTGATTGCAATGTACGCGCAATCTCATCCTACTACCTATTAAACAATGATACTGTGTTAGTCTGCGTGTTTATTTCTTCAACGGAGCATTCAAGTGGTCTGCTTTGAAGGCTAGAAAAGCCACAAAAAATCTTGTAATTGAGATTTGAAGCCAAACTCCCAAAGTGCAGACGGCATTATTTTTATATTTTGCACTAATAGTGAGCGATTCTTAAGGCCTTCTGTATGCTTAGTGTAAGTTATTTAACGTTCTCGATAGCGTAAAAGTTAGCTCATATTTGTATGGAATGGGATCTTTTGAGTACATTTGCCGTTAGGAGAGCTGTTCCAACTGCATATAAAGTTGGATTAACTTTTTCGCTATCGAGAAAGTTAAAAAACTCGCACTAAGCACACTACCCGTCGATGGTATTAAAAGAATAGATTTAAAATGAATTTCCTATTTACAAGTACATTTATTTAACGGGTTCTTATCACATTTATCTAACTAATCGATTCTTTATTGCAAACATGGCGCTTGTAAAACGCTGAAATATCATTCACGGGTAAGTTGAAGACTGTGTGTAAGTTAGGAGCAGACAAATGTACCTACCCTCTTTCAATGCTTTTTGGGTGCTATCACTACAACTCGATGATTTATCTCGAATATATACTATGAGTTTATAAAAACTTCCTCAGGATACTTCGAAATTTCTCTTTACTAAATCTAAGTTATCAAAATACATCAAAATGCTTTAAACTATCAAATTCTGTCTAATGAAATAATTAGGCAGTTCTGATTGCTCCAAAGCCTTGTTTAACGATTAAATAATACTTCCAGAAACACTAAATTATTATAAACTAGCTGACCCGGCAGACTTCGTAGTGCCTCAATCGATAAATAAAAAACCTAAGCTTTTGTATAAAATAAACTTAAAACAAACAAAAGGATTCGTCTGACATTTAATTCCGAGCATTTTCATATTTATGTACCTTTTAAACCTTCTTTGGACTTCGACAAATAATTCAAGACCAAAATTAGCCAAATCGGTCCAGCCGTTCTCGAGTTTTAGTGAGACTAACGAACAGCAATTCATTTTTATATATATAGATAAGATAAATTGTATATACTTCTCAGTATATATATGTACATTAATCTAGTAGTGAATCCAACGCAAACTTTCCAACAATATAATATTTACCTAAGCTACACGCTTACAACAAGAATAGCAAATACATCAACTAATCAAGCTTCGCTTCGACAGAATTCCGCTGGTAGCCAAAATGCCGGACTGGACTTGGATGTTGTTTTCGGCGCTATTCGGAGCTGTTTCTGCGCTAACTGTTCCACTGTTACTTCTCATGTATTACGTACGGCCGTTTGAAAAGAGAACTCAAGAACTGGACCAATTTAATATGCCAGTCACTTTGCCTCTGGTAAGTTCTTTTATTTTAAATATTACCGTCTCTTATAGCTATCCTCTTTTTTCGGTATTTTTCGTTTAGCTCTTCAGCCAATGGAGTCAGTATGAGACGTAATTTCAAAGACAATGGGATTGTGGCGGGTAGCTACCATACAACACAAGATATTTGACAGATGCCTGAATCTCCCTTACGATATTTTCAAGATAAGCTTGCATATTTACAACTTCCAAACAACAGCATTTGGACCCTCGGTCTACCGAGCAACCTCACCCACTGGGTTGAAGATCTTCCCTTTGTCGTATACCTACACAGGATTATAGATTTCATGATCACTTTTAATATTGGTTTGGAAGTCGTTTTTGTAAAACTGTTTGTGACGATTTGAAAAAAACTTCATTGTTGATTATTTTTTCTAAAGTAAGCGTAGGTACTGTCATAATTACAGATGTATAACTTCTGTACATTATTAATACGAGTATATCATAAATACAAGATGTTATAGGTATGTATATTGTAAAAATAAGCTTCTTGGATGTTAACATTCAGCTACGTTTGATAGGTAGAGCGATAAATACGTTTTCCGACCTTCCACCGGGAAACTCACTTCATACATTATTCGTTTCATAATTATGTTATTTTTCAAAATACTTTAAAATTTCCATTGTATGTTCAAATAAAAATTCTTTAGTTTAGTTGGAACTAAAGATTTTTTATTTTTACAAATTGAAGCAAACATACATAAACATAGTTTAAAATAGTAAAATACTAATATAACAAATTGCGATCACATTTCCTATAAGATACAAATGTGTTAAAAAGTAGCCACATTGGCATAATGAGTAATCACTTAAATCCATGCAGGCCGTGAGCAAGTTCAGGCATGAGAGTAATTAAAAACGTTGAATGTACAATGACTGCTCACTATAAACTAGTGGTAGAGGCCCAGACGGGTAGGTACCACCATAGATTATACACTTAATATATTCGAGGTACCACCATCCTACTGTTTCTGTCGCAAAGCTGTAAATGCGTTCCGGTATGAAGTGTGGGATATCTGTCACACTATAAAGTTTAGAATTTGACCGCATGTCGCATGACTGGTGGTGGCATTCACTTAGTGAAGAAATAATAGTAGTCCAGGGTCGAGATCCCAAGATAAAGACAAAACTGCATAATAATCGACAAACAAGAAACTTTCGCAAAAAAAAATTCCGTTTTTCGCCACAGATAATATTTTACGACGTACTATAGATAACAAACATGTTATTTTCTCCGAAATTCATCATTACCCGTTAACAGCCTTACAAAACCGTGTAATTAACGCAGGCCCCGTAATTTTGCACGAATAATTAAAATAAAAGCCCAAAGAAAAAAGAGACTGGATATTTTAAAGGTCTCCAATTTCAAAGCTACTCCCTCATTACTTGCTTTCTGATTTAAGAAATGAAAATGTTTTTTGTTTGTTTTGTTTTTCATTAAATGAACTTTAAATTTTTTGTACTCTTCTCTTGTATAATTATATTCCAAAGTTACTTTTTTATTTTAATTTTTTAAATACTAAATACGAATTGGATTACCATATTTTAGCACTTTCTTGTCATATTGGAGTGAACGTAGTTGTTGCGGTAAATTTAAGGAATTTAGCACACCCTTCCGCGACAAGCCTGGTGTACTTAAATCAAGTGATGCGATCGAATTATGCTAGTATTCCAATCTCGTAAGCAGATATTAATTTTTATAGTGAACAAAACATATATTCGCGAACAACTTCCACAATGAAGGAAGTGTAACAATCAGTCAAACCAAGTGTTCAAAAATTACAATTTGCGGAAATACTAGTGGTAGAGGATGTCGTGGGCCCATGAGCATCTGTAGGTACCGCTCTACTTATTTTCTGCATTTTTTAATACCGATTCTCGCGTTTATATTATTATATACGTTACGTATTTTCAAGGTAAACTAAAATCAAATTGGTTTCTAAGTTGTCAGTTGTTACTAGCAAAAAAGATATGTATACTGTTGATGACTGTTATATAATGCTAGATTCCCGCTTCAAAAGTGGACTCTTGAATGAAACTTCAACTTTAAATCTCTAGATGGAAGACAGCATTCTTATGGGCTTCGGTAACAACTAAGCACTTGTGTCGCTCCCCTCCTGGCTGAGCCTTTGCTCACCTGTCCTGGTGAAACTGAAAACATCTCCGGGCCATCAGTAATCCTTGAATCCTAAAAAAAAAGTTAATTCGCTAGTTTGTCAGTCCGCACAATTAAATTAAAAAAATCCATAACCGAAATTAGTAGAGAAATGTGTAAGCGTTATGTTCGAATTAAGCAAGTTAATTAAAACTAATCGACGTGTTAATTACTTTAGAATTTAGAATTGCTGGTTACAGAAATATGGTGGCTAGGGATGTACTATAAATTTTTTCCACGTTTTATTGTTTTTTATTAATCCCCCAGATTTTTAAGTTATTTTTGGTCACAAATATTGACAAAAAATTTCAACGCATCATTTGATAGTAGACCCTTCTCTATCAACTCATTTGAGTTCACAATCTTCTCAGTGGGTCGTGTTTCCGATCCGGTGGTAGATTCTGCGAAGCACTGCTCTTGCTAGGGCCAGTGTTAGCAACACTCCGTTTTGAGCCCCGTGGGCTCACCTACACGTTAGGATGAAGCTGAAATATTCTCTCAGCTATCAGCATAGGTAGGATAAAAAAGGTTCAAAACATACGTATGTGTAGTTTCACTTAAAATAAGATAAACAATGAATCCACATTCAAATTATATGAACCTGTATCGATATCACAGGAAATTCTGAACGAGCTTACACGTGGAGCCGGCAGCACTCCCGAGGGCGCTCTGAACGCGATGCTGCAGTTCATATTCCAACAAAGCACTGCCGATACTCGCTGGTTACGACGCCGTATGGCTACCGAACTTGCTGAGTTGCTTGCTAAAACATCTTCAGGAAAGATATTTGAATCTCTAACGGTTAGTCTGCTACTTATTCTTCTTCTTCTTCTTATCAGCCCACAGACGTCCACTGCTAGACATAGGCCTCCCCCAAGCCTCGCCACAAAGACCGGTCCTGCGCGACCTGCTTCCGCTTAGTACTTTTACCGAATGAGGGAAAAGTTCCCAAAGCCGAAATAAGTAAACTTGGCATAAGCAGAAAACATTATTCATTTATTGCTTGAGTGAACTCATTGAAACCATCACTAAAGCGACCCACCATTTGGGCTGTGAGTAGGTACGTCTATCTCAGTACTAAAGTATTTATAGACAAAATTAACTTTGCATATTCCACACTATGTAGTTTAATCAATATTTAGTTCTAGAAATGATTTGTTTCACAGCTACGTTCCTTGGAAGTTGGCACTGAGTTTCCTAGTATCAACAATCTTCACCTACTTAGCGGCGAATTGGAGGAAGATGGGGCAAGACTCAGGTCCTTGGATCTAAAATTCGATCTTGCCTACGACGGAAACTTCAGGATTGACGTAGACGCTGTGATGCTGCTTGGCAAGATTGCTAATATATCGATTACTGGTTAGTTTTAAACTTGTTTTTTTGCGGCATTGGAAGAAAGTAATACTGTACAGTATTACTTAGTATCTGCCTTACTTCTTACTTAGTAAAATGGTTGGTACGATTGAATGCAAGGGATTTCTCGATTAGTAAAAGGCACCCAAATGTCCACCCAAAGTTATATTGTATGAATCTAAGCTGTTTGTAGTAGTTTGTACAATGATGTATTCCATCTCTTGTTTGGTCGACCTCACTAATTTTCTTGTTAAATCGCACGGACACATGTATTATTACAGAAAATAAATTTACATTTTAGTTGAAAGTCTAAGCGGCAATGTACGACTCATGTTTCGACGCACTCCGTATACCCATTGGGCGCTTGCTTTTGAAGCGCCGCCAAAGTTGGAGTTGAAAGTCCGAGGTCGATTCCAAGGGCGGCAATTAAAGCCGAGACTGGCATCGCTGGTCGCGGCCCATATCAGGAGGGCAGTCGCACAACGGCACACCCTTCCCAATTATAAGATAAGGTTAGTAAATATATTGTAAATAAGTTATGTATCGTTAAGTCGTCGTGGCCTAAAGGATAAGACGTCCGGTGCATTCGTATCTAGCGATGCAACGTATTCGAATCCCGCAGGCGGGGGTACCAATTTTTCTAATGAAATACGTACTTGGCAGATAGATATTCACGATTGACTTTCACGGTGAAGGAATAACACCGTGTAATAAAAACCAAAACCCGCAAAATCACAATTTGCCTAATTACTGGTACTAGTTGTGAGTCCGCACGGGTAGGTACCACCACCACCCTATCTATTTCTGCCGTGAAGCAGTAATGCGTTTCGGTTTGAAGGGTGGGGCAGCCGTTGTAACTATACTTGAGACCTTAGAACTTATATCCCAAGGTGGGTGGCGCATTTATGTTGTATATGTCTATGAGCTCCAGTAACCAATTAACACCAAGTGGGCTGTGAGCCCGTCCACGCAACTAAGCAATAAAAAAATATAAAAAAATGTATAAATATGTTATCTATGCTATTTGTTGTGTATTTAATAGTAAATATGTTGGAAGAAGTCTGAATGTGATGAGTCGATGTGAAAATGAGGTTGGTAAGAGAGTGTAAACTATGAATGTGGAAGGATATAGAGGAAGAGGTAGATCTAAGAAGAAATGGATGGATTGCGTGAAAAACGATATGAGTAAGAGGGGAGTGAGCGAAGAAATGGTATATGATAGAGAAGTATGGAAGGAGCAAGTATGTTGCGCCGACCCCAGGCGACAGGTGACCAGGTGAAGGGCAGGAGAATGATGGTGTTAGTAAAGAAATTGTACTAGATATAAAACTATGTGCAAAAAAATAAGGTTAATAAAATTTCGACATACATTAAAGCTTACTGACTCGGTGGGCTCGATACCCATATCGGGCAAACATTCGTGTGATGAACAGGTTTATTTACTCTTTGTCTAATTGCTTATTAACTATGTATTTAAACGTATATAACTATGTATGTCAGGCTCTGGTACCCATAACATAGGGATTCCTAATTTGGAATCGAATGACCCTGCCTGATTTAATCCTTGTTAGTTTTTATTAATCAGTTATTTTTTAATTCTACCTTTCATAAATACTGAATCATTGCAGATACAAACCATTCTTCCCAAAATCTGAGCCGGGTAGTGGAGAAGCTGATGACGGTCCCACTCCTCAAGGTCGACTGACGGTACGACTTGTCGAAGTTACTCGATTGCAGTGGGCAGGAGCGAGTGGGACAGTAAGGGCTGCTTTAGCTGTGGATTCACATGCATGGGTCAGTGTCTTGACTAATTGCTCCTATCATAATTATATAGTACCAATATATGAATAAGTATTAACTTGATGAACTGAACTGAACTTGAAACGAATGCACAAGAAGGGCCGCGGTACGCCAGGAATGGCGACCTCTGTGTGCTTAATGCGAGTTTTTTAACGTTCTCGATAGCGTAAAAGTTAGCTCATATTTGTATGGAGTGGGATCGTTTGCGTACGTTTGCCGCTAGGGGCGCTGTTCCAACTGCATACAAAATTGGATAACGTTAAGAAATTCGTACTGAGCACACTGGTAAAGCGCACCAATTCCCGAAGTGATGACCACGACCACTCTGCCATGAGTGCACACGACTGAGAAGAAGATTAACTTGATACCGCGCCATCTCACCTTCAAGTGTGTCTCAATGTGGGTGGCGACAATTGGCTTTTGATGTCTTTCGACTCCGCTAGCATTCCGTTAACACCAGGCTGTGATTTCGAAAAACATTAATCAATGTTACCTTAATAATAATATAATAATAAGCCTTTTTATTTCTTGTTTTACAATTTTAGATGGATTATAATATTACATTAAACAACAAGATAGCAGTTAGCTTATAGGTATTATGTTAGTAATATAAGTGGGTACGAGTATTAAAATAATTATAACTTAACAAGAAATCCCGTTTTGCAAAGACGTGTATTAAGAATCCCACCCCCTTGCTTCGGCAGTGCATATACACAATGTTACCTTATAGGTCCATAATTATTTTAATGTTCCGTAACTTTTTGTTCTAGGTATCCCTACGTCGTGGTGTTTTAGTGTTGGATGTAGTGTTGCCAGCAGTCTCCGGTCCGCTCGGCCTCGTTTGCTGCCAGGGTGTCGGAGTGGTGCTGGTAGATACAGTGGTGCCAATGTCGCCAGCATATCGCGCCGATTTACGACGAGACGATGTCGTACTGGCCATCGATAATAAGCCCATTAATAATGTCGCTCAGGTAATCATGATGTTTTGAAAAAACTTCAAGCCTTAATTATAAGGTCTTTTCGTATAGAACAATTAGGGGAGAGTGAGGGAATTGAGAACGGCGGGTAATTGGGAACACCTAGGGAAGTACTACTTCCCCTTATACTAGATCATCCCGATATTTTTTAAAGCATACTTCCAGCGCCCTTCAGTTCGTAGGCAATAGTGAGAGTGAAAGGCTGCACGCATGCTGTCACGATAAATCAAACAATTTTTATTACGTGTGTGATGTAATTTTTGTTATGTGTTACAATAGATGTTACTATAATATTTTTGAGTTCAAAAGGCACACTATTTAGTTTCTATCATGTACGTACTATATGTTTTCAAATCTTAGGCGACTTGAAGTTCGCCAACAATTCTACTGAGCATGGCGGCCATTTTGATTTATATTGACTACTTCGGGTAATTGGGAACGGCATCAGGAGGGTAATTGGGAACATTTCTAATTACCCCTTGCGTTCTTAATTACCCGTAATGTCTCGAAATTATCTACGTAAGACTGAAACTAAATACAAAATTTGAAGATCTTGCAATATACTACAAAGAAGAAGCTAAAAATCAAGAGTAAAGTCGTAAGAAATTTGAAGAAGGCTTTAGAAAATGAAAACTAAGAGGAGTTGAAGTCGTCGTGGCCTAAGAGATAAGACGTCCGGTGCATTCGTGTTGAGCGATGCACCTTTGTTCGAATCCCAGGCCCGGGTACCAATTTTTCTAATGAATTACGTACTCAACAAATGTTCACGATTGACTTCCACGGTGATGGAATAACATCTTGTAATAAAAGTGAAACCCGCAAAATAATAATTTACGTAATTACTGGTGGTAGGACCTCTTGTGAGTCCGCGCGGGTAGGTACCACCGCCCTGCCTATTTCTGCCGTGAAGCAGTAATGCGTTTCGGTTTGAAGGGTGGGGCAGCCGTTGTAACTATACTGAGATCTTAGAACTTATATCACAAGATGTGTGGCGCATTTACGTAGTAGATGTTCATAGGCTCCAGTAACCACTTAACACTAGTTGGGCTGTGAGCTCGTCCACTCATCTAAGCAATAAGAAAAAAAAAAGAGTTTTACTGCATAATGTGTAACGAAAAATATGAGTCACCACCGACAGAAGATTGGATCATGTGCACCATATACATAAACCCTGGGCACCTGAAAAATGCAAGGTTAATGTGAGATATGTGCTGATAAAACAATTTGTAGTTATTATCGGGTTTTAATTGTGTCGATCCTATTTACCCCGTACCGTTCCCATTTCCCCCGCGGGACGATCCCAATTACCCCATATGGTATCGGGTAAAAAGGAACGCTATTGTTTTTTTAGTTTATTAATATTTTTAATAAAACGTTTATTTTGGAGAATTTTTTTGTTATCAATAAGTAGATAGGTAAGCAAAGCTTACGTTTCAATGAAAGTTGATTATGTTTATGACTTTTTTCTATTAGTTTTGAACATTTGAAGTTAAGTGTTCCCAATTCCCCCACTTTCCCCTAATCATTTTGTGCACAGATAAACTTTTTGTCTTTTTATTCTATGACACATGAAAGCCATGAAGCCGTTTTAAGACATGAAGACAAAGTCTGCCAGCTGTCCCTTCAAAGCGAAATGCATGACGGTTTCGCAGTAGAAATCGAAGTTTCCGTTTCATACCTACAAACAAACCGAGCTAATAAAAAGAGTGTTAAAAAAAAACTTCATTTGTTCATCATACCAAATATACTACATTGTATATTATGTAGTGGAAACGCAAATCGTCGAGACATTTTTTTTTATTGCTTAGGTGGGTGGACGAACTCACGGCCCAACTAATGTTAAGTGGTTACCGGAACCCATAGACATCTACAAGGTAAATGCCACCACACACTTTGAGTTATGCGTTCTAAGGTCTCAGTATAGTTACAACGGTTGCCCTACTATTCAAACCGAAACGCATTACTGCTTCACGGCAAAAATAAGCAGGGTGATGCTATCTACCCGTGCGGACTCACAAGACGTCCTACCTACCACTAGTAATTACGGGTATAGTTTTTCGGGTTTGACTATATAGGTTATAGACTAAAGAGTTTTGACATGGTTTTTTCTTTAGGTTGGCAAACTCCTTCGTCTGGTAGAACGGCGTGCTGTCACCGTGCGAGTTCGACGAGGCGGCAGTGGAAACTCAGCGCGCCGTGAAGACAACGCCGTCGAACCGAAACGGATCAAACCTAACTTTTCATTCAGAAGAGTTTCCGAAGTAATGGAGGGAGTTAGACTGCAGGGTATTAGAGCTGCGGCTTCTAAGAGTAATTTACAGGTAGATTGGAGAAAAATATACTTTATAGCACACCAATATTAGGAAATTATAAACATAACAAAAGTAAATTAGATGATCTTATTGCTAAAAGCCGTTTTTCTTTCAAAGAATCACCGAACAAAAGTATTGTACAAGAAAAGTAGCTAGGTATGTTTTATGCAATATGCAACAAAAATAAATCTTTACATAATTGGAACCGATAATATACCATTTACAACTATATGAAATAATTCAAATACAATATACTGTTTGTATAATGTAGAGTTGGTTTTCTTTTTTAATTCTGCTGCTACTTTTAAATACTAACAATTGGAATCGATAGGCAGCGGCTTGGCTTTGCCCCTGGTATTGCTGTAGTCCATGGTCGACGGTAACCACTCACCATCAGGTGGGCCGTACGTTCGTGTACCTACCAGGGCAATAAAAAAAATTTAAGCTACCTTTATAGTATAATCTCGCGTTTTCATCACCATTTCTGATGTTTAAAGTGTCCGTGGTTATGGATTTACGTTAGTTGTAAAAGTATTTTTTTATTATATCTACCGGTCGCGAAGAGCGAAGAAGAGCAGTCAGTTCGGTAGGCAGCGGCTTGGCTCTGCCCCTGGCATTGCTGAAGTCCATGGACGACGGTAACCACTCACCATCAGGTGGGCCGTGTGCAATTATGTCCCGTATGGACATTTGGAATTTAATTTATGTAAAATTAAACTCTGATTTTTGATTGATTGTTTTATTGTGACGTGCGTGCGTGCCTTAGTGCAATGGCAAAGAGGTTTATATCTATGAAATATGTCTATTGAATATTAGTTTTTTTTAGATACACAAACGTCGGCGCGAACATCCTGCCTACAAGGGCAATAAAAATAAAAAAAGATACTATAATGACAATTAATTAACAGTCATATTATACAAGTCGAATCCACCAACGTTCATTATAATTAATGCTAATATTAAATATATTAAGTAGTTGAAATAGCTTGCGTTTAATCTATTGACAGTGCTATAACAGACACCATCCCTGTAGTACCACTGATAATTGACACTCAAATAATTCGCATAAATGATGAGCGAACGCATATAACGCGAACAAAAAATAAACGTTCAGACATTAAAAATAAATTATTGTACACATAGCTCATTAGGAAAGAACGTATTTTTTTGCAGGAATCCGAATCACCGGTTAAAGCTTCTGTTGAATCACACAACGAGACTGACGCACAATCCAAACCAAAAACAGAACCGGTTCGTCAACTTTCCAAGTCAAATGACCAGCCTTCACCTTCAGCCAATTTCGGTCTTCGTAAGCGCCGTTGTTCCGTGGAAAATAAATCTTCAGATAGTTCTGCGGGTAGCACACCACCGGCTTCTGGAGCCAGTACACCCTTGCGACAGTCCACGGCTGTGAACAAAACCGTCAAACACCCCGAAATACCTATTATTAGAACTGATTCCTCCGAATGTAAAGTTACGGAGAGAGTTGAAACACTTTTAGATGATGATGAATTATTCGAAACAGGCGGCCCCAGACAATGCGAACATGTTGAGATATGCCAAATGTTTTTGACTAAAAGCATCCAGCTCAAACCCATCATACCGTTTGATGAAGAAACCGAATTCAAATTGAACGAGAATCATAAATATTTAAATATAAACGTATGGGCAACGGTAACAGGAGAGAAAGATGAAGTTTTGTTGGGATACTTGAATATTCCACTAGCCGCGTTATTGAGCGAATGCCAGGACTCGACAGTTCCACATCATATGAAACGATATCAGTTTTTACCTCCCGATGTCGATATTAAATTTAGGTAAGGTCATTTACTTAGGTTCGACGCCGTATCTCCTATATCTTATTTCCTTCTCAACATAATTTTTTGTTATAGAAACATAGCTGGCGGCCCGGATGTTAAGTTGTTATCGGAGCTCATAGGCAAATAAATGCAACTCTCATGCCTTCAAACCACGGTGAAGGAATAACATCGTGTAGTAAAAATCAAACCCGCAAAATTATAATACCACCACCCTGCCTATTTCTGCCGTGAAGCAGTAATGCGTTTCGGTTTGAAAGAAGCCGTTGTAACTATAATGAGAACTAACTTCTAGAACTCATGTCTCTGGGTGGCGGTATTTACGTTTTAGATGTATATGGGCTCCGGTAACCACTTAACACCAGGTAGGCCGTGAGTGGGTTCACCAACGTAAGCAATAAAAAAAAACCGCTCCCTCAAGTTAGGAGGTGGCATTTACTTTGCCATGTCTATGGATTCGCATATTCGGTTAACATCACGTAAGCCGTGAGCCCTATGCTCAAAACTAAAAAAAAAGCCGTAGCTACTATTTTCTCTGTTGAAGCCTTGTGTTGGAATTCAAAGAATTCCGAGTTCAAAAGTTTTTTTTTCTGTTGCAGCAAAAGCCACAAACTGGCTTCACATGCAGGCTTCGAGCCATGTCTATGTTTTGGAGACGCTCTGGTTTGGTGGGAATGGGATGGGGCAGCTACTCGCAGTGCTCCTCGTCCTCCTGTGAAAGACTCAGCGCCTCCTCGGCCCCCCAAATTGACCAGAGCTGTTCACGATTTTGTACGAACTCACTTCCACAGATCCACTCAATGCGATTTTTGCAATAAAAAGGTAAAAAAAATACAATAACCTGTTTTAATATTGGTAGCGTATAGAAAAATTAACAAACTTACTATGATACATAAAAAAAGAATTTCGTTTTATAACTTACTAATTAAGCCTACTTCATCAACAGATTTGGTTGAAAGACGCAATGCAATGCCGTAGTTGTGGTCTTTGTTGCCATAAAAAATGCGTTACAAAGTGTCAAGAGTCTTCGCCGTGCGTACCTAAACAAGACTTAGGTAGGTAAACAAGTAAACTAATCTACAATTTCACAGCAAAATAGGTGTCTATTATTTAAAAAAAAACTTCAAACGTTTTGTATTGGCGTGATCTTTATTGACAGGACAATTCTTCATGCACGGGCCACATAATTGGCACAAAAATGGCGGTTCATACTGCAAAGCCGAATAAATTATGTTTATTTTTATCTGCAACAAAACACCAACTGTTCCTCTTTACTCCGCACAAAGAAGATTCAATGATTTTGATGTCTCGAACGGTTCGGGTTCCTTAGGTATGCGGAGAGACTTTGTTCTTTCTGCTTTTTCTAGCGTTTGTTCCACGTGGAATGTTCCGAGGAGCTATTAAAAACGATATCTAAGTTGCTTTTTCACTGTCGTACCATCAATTACCGGAGTATCTCGCAAATTTTACTTAGAACCACTCGCTTACGGCGCAGTGCGTTTTCAGCAGAGAATATACCTTAACGCATGCTGTCTATGGTTTCTCATCAAACAAGATCTGAGGGTAATGAACTGTGGACAACACCTCGGTTGTGCCCTTGGCAATGCCGATGTCCGGTGACCGCTTTCATCAGGTAGTCGCAGGAGGCATGCCTATTGCGTCAGCCAGATAGATATATCATGATCTCTTCGGAAACCAATTTCTGACGTTAATGAGCTAACTTGGCACGGTCATATTAAGTACGTCTGTTCACTTACTCCATATCTTAAAGTTTTAGCCGTACATTTCAACTGTTATTATAAAATTCAAATCAGTATTAGTAATCTTATCCTCTCTGAACGAATTGCTACATGTTTTTCCAAGAAACTCTGAGTCATCTTGGAATATTGGATTTTACGAAACAAATCCCGTCGTGTGACCTCACTCTGAGGTCTTTAAGATATTTCCGTATAAATGTTCGGAAACTTAATTTCAGGCAAAGGATGGATCAGCGAAAAGCAAAAGTAGCTGCTCTTGATTAAAACCTATAAAAATTGATTCATCTTGATCCTCAATGTTTTGACACTACTATCAATTCTTATATTATATTATTCTTTAATTACTATGACATTCATAGGTACAAGTTTCCTATTGCAATTTTTGTTGCAGTTCCTGATCTTTCTACCACTTTTAATTTTTACTAATTTGTCTCAGTAACATAACCTATTAAAATACCATTTAAAAGACGCATTAAAAATAATACATTATGATCTAAACATGTCTTTAGTCTGTAGGTTTTCAGAAAAAAAAAAAACGATTCAAAGACGTATATAAATAAATAACGTGCGTTCGGGTACAGTTTATTTTTACTTATTTTACACTTGAAAAGGACATTAATTTCCGAATTCGTATCGTTCTGAATGTTTTTGAGATCTTGCCAAATATTATACCTTCTGTATATCGAATTGGGTTATTGACCAATTCAGTCAATGACCTTTTAATTATAAGCACGAATTTCAGTGAAGTCATGTTTGAAATTTTTTCTTAGACATCGTTTTTTTTATTTGTAAATATTAAGGGCATGCGTGCAGATCGTGTTCCCAAAAGGCAGTATGGTTCTTCTTATTTTAATCATATTGAATAATCCTACTGTAATACTAGGTGTTCACGAATTGAAAGAAATTAATCTTTTTTGGAACGGAGTTCCTTATCACTGATTTTGTTTGCGAGCTGAGGAGCTAGACCAAAAAAAATGTAACAATAAAAAACGACACAAAAAACCGACATATTTTGCAGTGATTTTTCAGGCACTTCCCGATCACTTAGGAAATTGAAACTTTCTAACGATTCAGCTTCAGTTTTGAGTATATGCATAAATATTTTGTATATTAATAATCAATTACAAAATAGTGATATATTTTTTTCACTAATATACCAATTTATAATTAGTTTAATTATTTTATACTGACTTTATTTTTTATTTAATCATTACTACAAACACAAAAAAACTATAGCAAAAAGGACTCTGTTCCAAGTCCAACCGGATGTCCATCCCCTCCCTTTTTAATTTCAGGTCGGTCGGCTAGAGAGATATTGTTTTTTTTGGCATCAAACTGTGCCATTGTTTACCAAATTGTTATATAAAATATCAATATCTAGAGCGTATGCAAACCTTTCCAGTATCTAATAAAGATTTTAACATTATTTTAGGTTTAGATTAAAGTAGTTACTTTGCAGAGGAAACCTAACCTGTGTAGTTAAGGTAGAAAATCGAATAAGAAGGGCAGAACTGTGTTACGTCATTATGGTAACTTTAATTACACTACGAATGAGTAACGACATGATACGAAGTACAGTTGAGCGCACACTTACATAATTTGTGGTTTAAAGAAACATTAAACTTTTAGATTTCCTGAATCAAACTGAATCTAGAGCGTAATGTCGACGCAATGATTCTTGGGTGCGCAATAAATATGTGTAAGAAATAACACACACAAAGATTCCACGAACACGGCAACTCTTTTAGAGGTTACGTGTGCGACTATTGCCGGCACACATGCGGAAGAATAAAGAGCGTTCCACTTTGGAATAATGTGTTGCTTTATGTAGACAAGCAATGCTGAACCGGTTTATAGATATAGTACTTCTTTTTACATCGTAGTTTGGAGTATCTTTATTTTTCAACAGAGGCGCTATATTGTTATGCGAGACAATTTTGTTTTTTTTTTTTGAAATGTCATAAATATACTGTTGATTTTGATATTTAGACAGCACTCACGGTTTAATTAATTATACCCAATTATGGACTCGGAAAAACAGTAAATAAGTATTGAAAAATATCATAAAGTATTCTAATATAGTATTTGATACTATGAGTCCCATACGAGTTGAAAAATGACACTATAATCTTAAATGAAAACACAGCTTTTACTCGTCCTTATAAATACTATAAAATAATTAAATTAATTTTTTACTTTGCATACCATAACCTCATATCAATAATTGAAACGGTTACTCGATAGTATTTCCTTAGAAATAGGACAGGGTTCCTTAAAATAAAAATGATGTATAAATTCATGAAATAAAATATATTACTCTGTGTCCAAACAGTAAAAAAATTTGAAATAATATTTATGTGCGATCTTGGAAAATTACCCTATTTACATGGTTCGATTTAAGGTGATGCCGTCACCCGTTCCGTATTGTCAAGGACAAGTTCAGTATATACCTATCCAATTTACTGTCGCTCTTTTCAGATGCCAAAAAGTATTTTAGTATCACGTGAAAACAATTACGCAGTAATAGTTTAATACATTAACAGGCTTGAGCTGTCCTCCTCCTGAACTGATTATGACAGAAGCTGACTCCGTTCCCGACCCTGACTCCGACGAAGAACCCGATAGAAAAGACTCACTTGAAGTTCACGAAGAAGGTGAGAACAATTTCAAACACAACCATTCAAAAACGACTTGAAATCGACTGAATTAAAAAAAATCAAAATTCAAATGATAATTCTAGAAAAATCACCTAAAATTTCAAATTTTCACTACTAACAAGGTTAACTAACCTAATACGATTTTTGGCGAGTTATGTTCGTTTTTATTTTAATTATTATTTTCACTGATTTACTCGATCGAATTTACAATATACATAAAATTTAAGTATGTAATTGATTTTTGTTAATATTATTGTTTACGGTTATGTTCTTTCTGCGCAGACGAATTGCTTGAATGCTGACATTTGGGAAGCAATACACTATTCTAACACACCCGGACTCATTCGACTTGTCCCTACGACTGTGCAGGTTTTATTATATATTTTTAACAACGTTTATCGTGACTGTCCTAATTTGTCCTCATTGTGTGAAGGCATTCCCGCTATTTTGGGAAATTGCAGTAAAATTGTTCATTTCCGTTCCAATTCTAGATGATCAAATCATAAAAATAACAAGTTGTTATAGAATACATATCATTATATTCTACTACGTAAAATTAGAACCATAAGTTAAAATAAACATAATAGTTTATTTATTTGTATATATATCCATATTTAGTTTAGTTTCTGAATAAATTAATTACATATATATTATTAATGTTTAAACACTAAAATGAAGTGTTAATTAAAATATGCATTTTTTAAACAATTACTGTAACAGAAGATCGATTGAACTTGACATTTGCATAGAATAATAATAATATGAAAATTTTTGACTGAAAAAAACTGAGGCCGTGGAGGTAAAATGAATAACAACTATGGTAAATAATATTGTTCGACTTGAAGTTTATTATAAGAGTTGTACATAGTTAATACTTCGAAGAAATAATGTATAATTGACACGAACAGCTTAATAAAAATAAATAACACTTGCTTTTTGTTTTGTTCTATACATAAAATATTTAAAACAGAAGATATGAAATCTCAAGAAATCTCAAGTTTTTATTGTCGAGTTTTTTTGGCCTGACACGCCCTTTCTATCTTTACCACCGATTTGGAATATAATTTCGCCATTCCGAGGGCAAGTAGCTCAGGCCTAGCCTAAATTCATAAAATGTAATTATATGTAATGACAATTACAATGATAATAGCTAATTCGTCCCCGGATATAAGAAAGAAAAATGCAAAAAACTTTAAAATATCAAACATAAATGGACCCAAACTAAAACATCATTTTTTTAGAATATTCTTCAGCCATTTGTTCCACTTTATCATAAACTCATATAGCGCTAGCTGTTTTAATAGTAGTTGTAAGATATTTTGTATTTAAAAACAAAATATATTCCTTAAACAACGGTAAGGCCCGATTCTGAAAAATTCCATAGTTAGGTTATATTCCGTTTTGTATTCCAATAATGTCATTGTAACGGGTTAACCGGGATTTGAGTATGGTACACGTCTCTGAGCTAACACATTTCTGAAGCGAAATTATAAGTTTGATAACTTTCCATACTTACATTGATTACAATGACATATACGATGACGGAGTCTTATGGTAAAAAAAATTAAGTTGCTATTGAGATGTTAGATTTCTCGTTTTCTGGCAATTCACTTTTCCATCTTAGGGTTCGATATGAGAAATTCCGAACAGTAGCTTCATAAATTCTGGTTTAAAAAGTCTTAATATAGTATGCAGAATGTAGAAAATTTTATACGAAAGGCATGAATTTGAAGTCGTCGTGCATACGTATCAAGCTATACGCTTGTGTCTGTGTTCAAATCCCGCAGGCGGGTACCAATTTTTGTAATGAAATCGTACTTAACAAATGTTCACGATTGACGTTCACGGTAAAGGAATACAATCGTGCAATAAAAAACAAACCCGCAAAAAATATCATTTGCGCAATTACTAGTGGTAGGACGTCTTGTGAGTCCACACGGGTAGGTATCACCACCATATCGTGAGGCAGTAATGCTTGTAGTAAAGCTCGAAGCGTGGGGCAGCCGTTGTACTGTAGAAACTAAGACTTTAGAACTCATATCTGATGGTGGGTGGCGGAATTAACATTGTTGATGTCCATGAGCTCCGGTAACCACTTAACATTAGATGGTCCGTGAGCTAGTTCCCCCTCAAAAGCAATAACAAAAACTGTTTGCCCGAATACAGAATCTCTAATACCAAAAATATGTATAATATACGAATACCTGGTGGATGTAATGGTGGACTAGTGTTATGTTCCCAAAAATGACAAAATTTCGATTAGAATAACAAATAAAATATAAGATCATTTAGATCGAAAGCATTAAATAAGCTGAAATTGGGATGTATGTACCATTTTTAGGTTCCAAGTCAAATATAAATACTTAACTGTCAAACCTGTTTTTGAATTATATACATATTTATTTTCATAGATTGTTTTCATAGATCGCGGCTAACATTTCATATCGGCATATAGACAAAACCATTTAATATACCTAAAGTACATTAATGTATTCTTAACATTCTCTACGCAAAATATTTTATACTATTAAAACACGTATAAGGAAAGTCTTAAAAGCGTTTTACATCACCTGTTGAATGATTATTGAGTCATTGAATTCCACTAAATGAAATCGTTGTTTTTTTTTAAATATTACCGAAATAATGAATCCGGTCAAATATCTTGACTGATTTATTGTAAGTACCTACCTAACATTTCAATTTCGTATGTTCCTCAACGCTCTGGTTAACACAGTCCAAGGACTACTTCAACACGAAAAGTTTTATTACATACAAAACGCAATACATAACACATCTCATTAAATTCCACTGTAATCTCTGCATTGCTTTAATTATTGCGAATTGAACGGACTAATAAGTTTGATAATTAAAATTTTGTAAAAAAAAAAAGAATTGTAAATGAAGAGGTTCGTTCTTCGTAAAATTTCTACATCTTGCAAGTTTGAGTTCCAGAACAATTATAAACATAAAATAGAATTGAAATACGTTTTACGAAATCAAACTTAAAATAGATAGGTATCCATATAAATATTATGTTTATTATCCACGGAATTCCTATCAAAATCTTAGGCCAAAGTAAGAAAATTATTAAACAGTTCTATTTGTGCAAATTTTCAAGAAAATCTGACGTCTTGGGCTAGGTGTAATACATATATAGACAGATACTGGACTAGATAATAAAAGCATGTTATATTTCTTTATTCCCGTGAATTTCCTACTTGTCTGAATGAACTACCAGTTTGTTTGTCACATCTAAAAAAAGACACGTAGTTTCCCAAATTGAGATATTGTAACGATTCTAATTCCTTACTCAATACCTACGCTCTATATCAAGTATACTATCGATTACATATATACGAGTTTACCCGATATATAAAGCATGATCGTTTGAAGTAGGAATCGATACATTAGCACGATCTCCATAGATCCATAGATAACATCGTATCCATTTTCATCCATCCATCCATTTTCATAATTTTCACAATATCAACCTTTGTACTCGTGATGTTCTATTATACTAAATAATTAGGTATGTTTTATTATTTTAATCTTAAGCTTCAACAGTGAGAACAATCTGAGTATATTATAATCATGACAAATAATCAACGGGTGTTTATTAGGTAAAATTTCAAATGGTTATTTTATAGGTATGTCCGAATTAATGCTTATATAAAACTAGCGGCCCGCTCCGGCTCCGCTCGGGTCTTTAACAAAAATTTCAACGATATTTGACGTTGTTTTATTTTTTTAAATAAAAGAACACTTGTTGCAGCATAACTATAATAGTTAGACATATGCTGTCGCGACACTTTTTGTAAATAGTAATGTGTTCTACAAAGTCGTAGTACATTATTTTATTCTATCATCAATAGTTTTCGCAGGGCACGCGATGTAAAGAATATTTTAGGTAATTTTTTTACATCTTGGGTTACATTATTGGAGTTTTAGTAAAGATCCCTAATTTTTTTCATAAAAGATTATAGCCCATGTCACTCGGGAATAGTGTAGCTTTCAAGCAGTGAAAGAGTTTTTCAAATCACTTCAGTATTTTCGGAGCCTATTCAATACAAACAAACAAACAAATCTTTCCTCTTTATAATATTAAGTATAAAGTATAATAAAATTAAAGCAGTAATAATGTGTAAAAACGATACAGGCGGCGGCGCTATGAGCGCGCTGGTGGCGGGGCTACGGCGTGCTGGCTCTGCACACTCGCTCTCGGCTCCCAAAACTTCAGCTTCTTCCAGGTCTTTACCGCCCTCACCAAGCCATACCCCCAGGTGCGATTAACATCTATATATATAAATCTTTGTATCCCTTTTTACCAAAATTGCGCGGACGGAGTAGTATAAAATTTCCCACACTTATAGAGTATATAGAGAAGGAGGGCAGAATGCTATTACTATTATTTTTTTAAATGATGCACATAAAATACATTAAATCAATAAATAAAACATTGCACACACTACCATGTATTTGACACAACACATAATTATAACTCTTTATTTATGGTCAAACATTTGTTATTGTTTAAAGTTTGTGATCAAATTGAGAATAGATTAATATTGTTTGTCTTTAATGTTATTTATCTATAATGTAGTCTTGGCGAAATCTGTGATTATAGAAGTATAATGTTTAAACTTATTATTAATTATAGTCCATATTCGACTACAGGGGGACCACTACTAATTAATAATCATGTCAATTTTAATTGTGGAAGCCATTCGAAAATTTGTATTAAGTGCTGATGAAAAACTGGTACCTGTCTGCGATATAAGTACATATACCGGGCAAGAGCATAATAGTCATTTAGGATTTGATAATCGGGTTCTGAATCAATACTTTAAATAATACATGGCAATTTCATAAAAAAAAAACGGTGCGCGTGCAGCTTCATGCACATGAATGAAGTGAAACTTCTTTTTCGATGTGTAGTACGAGTATTGTGGTTTTCTTCATTTTTCATCCTTACATCAGATTGCTCTTGTAATAGCGAATGCTGCTTATAAGAGATGCCACATCTTCAACATTTATATTATATGTATTTTAAATTATATATAGATATTTTTTTTAAATACTTCATTAAAATATTGAAGCTACTCGTTGCTAGCGCTCGCGCTGGCCTGCAACAGGTATACTACGCTATGCGTTCGAGTGCCTCGCATTCACTCTTGCTCGTTCTAGTATGGTAGTGTCAAACGTTCAATGCAACCTTGTTAGAAGTCGCATTAGAAGTTTCACTTCAATAACTGTTCTATGAAAAGGGCTTTATATTGAATGAAAAAACGTAACATATTTTACGATCAGTGATTGTACCGTAAAGGAAGCAGTCGCTGGAGTCGGTGGGCAACCCGTTCGGCGCGTGTGGCGTGACGTGGGCACAGCGGGGCGACGTGAGCGCGGTGCTGGCGCCTGCGCTGCGCAGCGCTCTGCCGCCGAACGCGCTGCTCGCGGCCGCCAGGGACGCGGCGCCTGATCTCGCCGCCAGCCTCTCCGCTCAACAGATACACGATATGGTGATACTCTTGCGCTACACACCCTCGACACAACAATAAGGGCCGAGTCACACCGGAACGGCAGCGGCCGGCGGCGATGCCAGCGGCCCCCGGCGTTGCCCTTGGCGGCCTCGCGCAGCCTCCGGACTGCACGCGCCTAGACTCCTCTTGACTAGTTTAGTTTCTTCATTCGGCAATACTACTCGTGTGTTTAGAGTGATGGCATTGGTTATTATATATGACCACGGTGCCGAGCGGCCTTGTGTCGCCGCTGGCAGCCGCGGGTAGAACCACCGACCAGACGCACGTGTCGAGCGGCTGTTCGCTTCACCGCGGGCGGGGGGCGGCTGTGTCGCGACCTTTTCAAGTGATACTGATCTTTTAAGTATATAGATAAAGTTTAAAATTATTTCACACTGAAAGTGCTCGCCGCGACGCTGCCGGCCGCTGCCATTCCGGTGTGACTCGGCCCTAACAGCTAAAAAAGACGTAACAGCTTTGAAACTAAACTTACTGACATATTATATTTTTAAAAAACTCTGGAAAGTTGATCATAAGATGTAGAAGCTGCAACTAGACAATACATGATAGGAAAATTCCGATGATTATGGGCTGTTAAAACTTATTTATAATAATATAGAAATAAATTTGTATTTGCTTACATTTTTCTTGTTTTGGTGGGCTCAGCGCAGTATGTCCTCTTTTTTCAATCACTCGTATCATACATCATATTTGCACTCACACCCTTCTCTCATATCCCTCCTCTTTCACACAGTTCACCCAAGTGTTTATAGGACGAGTTTTCTTACATTTGCTAAAAATTAAATTCGACAATTACAGAACTGCAATTATATTTGTACCTCTTCAATTTTCGATAAATTCTATCATTAACACAGCCGATGAACTTTATGAACTACTAGCCGTAATCGCCAGCTTCGTTGCGCATTTAATATTAACATTATTATTAGGGAGTCCAACACTCATATAAATATTAGCCTATCCATTAAGTATATGTATTTTCTACATGTGTACCAAGTTTCAAGTTAATCGGATGTATGGTTCAGTAGTTATAACGGAACATCCGTAAAAACCACTTTAGATTTATAATTTTTTTTATTGTCCTTGTAGGGAGACAAGTATACGGCCCACCTGATGATGAGTGGTTACCGTCGCCCATGGACTTCAGCAATGCCAGGGGGAGAGCCAAGCCGCTGCCTACCGCATATATTAGTATAGATTTGATTATTGATTACTGAATTCGAAGTTTAATTTGATGTTTTCCTTCTAGTTACTGGCAGTTCGTGAGGAGTTATCAGCAGAAGATGCAAGTGTACCAGACGGGGCTGGTGGCGAAGGACGGGCATACGCACTAACAGCGCTGATGCTGCACTGCTGTGCCGCCGCACAACTAGCGCAGCAACGTGCTGACGCCGCACCTGATAACACCTAAAAACCTGATAACGTTGAAATAAATTCATCATTAATTGTGATTTCGATGTATTATCTAATTATTAAACTACCTACTGACGTTGAAATTCCATTATTCGGTATTCCCTGCAATCGTAAATTAAATTGATTGATTTATAAAATAAAAACACTTATATGTCAAAAGTTTTTGTACTACAAAGGTTTTATTACTATTAATTTTAAGAATGATTCGTTTCCAGTAGACCTTAAAAAGAAGACAAACAGAAGATATCGACGCCAACTAAAAAGACTATAGCCGAAATGTAAAAACAAAAATCACCCAAAATCAAATAATAGTCTATGGTAGTCAGGAATAATGAGCATCTCTGTTAGGTCAAATATTTTTACTACTTTAAAAATGACCATAGGTAATACACTTAATATTTAAGAAAAATTACTTTAATTGTTATAAAGTTTCCAGATTATTATTTTATGCTTAATGCAAATGATCGCATGGTGCTAAATGGTTCAAGAGCGATAATTCAACTGTCGCTATGAAATTTTCAAGCTGGACCGCAAGATTTCGCGCCAGAAATAGAGAGAGTGGATATATATCCCGACCGAGGGTTCACAATATCCTACCACTTATAATTAAACAAATTTATCGGATCTCTTTTAAACTGATCAATAATATGAGGGTAACAAAATTGAAAGTATACCTACACATAAATGAGTAGTATATAGGTACCTTTCCTAATGTTGACCCTGCTATAAAGAAGTTTGTTTATCGCTGAGCCACGAGCGTGAGTGATGTAGAAAATATCAATAAAATGTAAGTAACTGAAGTATATACAGTAAAATCATTTTGATCACCTCGTTGGTGAAGTGGTTAGTAATACTGACTACTTTACTATAAGATCGGGGTTCGATTTCTGTATCGATCGATCAGTATCTTTATAAAAGATATTTGATTTTTTTAATATGAGTACATATTCCTATCTCATCTCTCAACACCTTCAGCACCGATGAAAATTATTTAATCTACATGTTGAATGAATGAATGAAATCAATGAAAATTATTTAATCTACATGTTTGATCTACATGTAGTTCTTAACCCGCTATGTCCCATGTCGAGTCCCATGGCGGAAAAAACCGTGGTATCCATCGCCAGACGGCCACGATGCCGTCAGTCAGTCAGATGTCAGTTGCTTTTCATTATTTTTTTTGCTACAGTAATTTTTTATTTCTTTTTTATTGCATAGATGTGTGCACGAGCTCACAGCCCACCTGGTGTTAAGTGGTTTCGGGAGCCCATAGATATCTTCAACGTAAATGCGCCACCCACCTGGAGATATAAGTTCTAAGGTCTCAAGTATAGTTACAACGACTGTCCCACCCTTCAAACCGAAATGCATTACTGCTTCACGGCAGAAATAGGCAGGGTGGTGGTACGTACCCGTGCGGACTCACAAGAGGTCCTACCACCAGTAATTGAAAATTAAAATTTTGAATTTTGATAAGTACGTATTTCATGAAAAAAAATTGTACCCGCCTGCGGGATTCGAACACCGGTGCATCGCTAGATACGAATACACCGGACGTCTTATCCTTTAGGCCACGACGACTTCGACGGCTAAGTTTATTGCGTGCAGTATGAAATACATTCATATAATTAAAGCTATCTATGTTCGTTATCACGCAACTAAACTTGAATATTTCAAACTGTCACGAATTTCCCTAAACATATACATATTAATATTACTAGTGATGTACTACGTTAATCAAGAGTGACGCAGCTATCTGTTTACTAACATTGTTTTCGTTTTTAAAAAAATATGTTGATCTATTTACACAAATAAAACACCCGATTGTCGCAAAAACCACGCGCATTATATTTGAGATCTATTAACATTAAACTTGTTTATAATGCGACCCTCTTTTTTGGCAAACGATCTTGATCGCCGTAAAATAGTGTTAAACAAAATAACAGGTTAGAACAAAATAAACATGTTTACAGTATTAGCACGCAAAAAACATTCAGATCATAATTATTATTGTCGATGAAAATGAATCTTGAATTCAGCGTAATGAATTTAACTAATTCGCTCTTCATCAAAATTACCTTAACATTGAAAGAACAAAGTATATAGTTCATTACAAATAAGTCACTGACAAATCCAGTGGCAAAGTTCCCATCGAGATTTTTTACTATAAACAAAGAAAATCTGTTTATCGAGTTCAAACGTTTAGGCAGACATGGCCTTTAATGCAAACGCGTTAAGACTGATTTGGTACGAATGAATAACTGCGTCATATGTTCACCAAAGAAGCTGGCTCTTGTCCAGGTTTTCCTGAAATAGCACAAAGGATCGACCTCACTTTCACGTTGAAAAACTTCTGCGAAATGTCAGCGGTCGTGCGGTGCGCGGAAAAATTGGCACGTCATCGACCGCGTGTGCGTGAAACGCGTGGTCACTCGTCCGTTTACAACACGTTATAATAATGCTCGTGCAGCTCATGTGCTAAATCACTTTCCAATTCAGTAGCTTTGTTAACATCTACGGACTATACGACGTTTATACGTACAAACAAAAGCGTGTGATTCCCCATCATGTTCCTTGAATGAGGAGATCCTTTGTTTGTTGCAGCTTGGCTCTGCCCCTGGCATTGTTATAAGAGATACAGTTATAAGTACATACAGTTATAAGAGAAGAATGGTGAATGAACCCTCTACAGTGTTTCTCGAGCGCTATGACATGTCCTTCTTCAAACGAGGCTTGTGGAGAGTAGGTACATAATGGTAGGCAGCGACTTGGCTTTACCCTCAGCATTGCTGAAGTCCATGGGCAACGATAACCACTCACCATCAGGTGGGCCGTGTGCTCGTCTGCCTACAAGGGCAATAAAAAAAAGGTGAAAATTTTAATTAAGAACTTTATTCGTATTTTATAACAAAAAAAATAATAGAACTGTAATAAGAGAAAACCTTTACTGAATATAAGGTTTTAATAAGCTAAAATTAATAGTAAAATTTGCTTTGATTACATTAGGTACATTGACAAATAACGAATAAAACAGATTGACAATGACGTCAACTTATGGCTGATAATTTCAACTAAGAAGTTTACATCATTCTCCCACACTATTTTAGAACATAATCTTTTAAAAATCCTNCTAAAAGCCTTTGTCTGATTTTATGCGATGATATACCGGATATGAAAGCATCACGTACGCTATCGTTTTTGTTTGTTTCTGCATCAACAGCCACAAAATCACAATCTTTAGAAAGTAGTTTCAAAGCTTGTAAATATGTGTCAATACTTTCTTCTGGTCGTTGTTTCCTTGTTGCTAACATGTGTCTAGCAAAAATCAGATTTTTGGTTTTACATACAGTTTTTGTAGTATTGTGATCGCTTCTTCGTAGTTCGTAGCTTCGCTTATATATGTGTAGATATTTGGTGATATATGGTTTACCAAAAGTTGAAACTTTATGCAGTCCCATTTTTCTGGCGGACGAACCGACTGTGCATCTGTTTCTGAAGCGATCGGCTTCTGCACGAAAATGAAGTTTTCGAAAGTTTTACGCCAATGTATCCAAGCTCTCGTACTAGAGCTTTCTGACGGGTCGATATCAAACCTTTCAGGGCGGAGATATCTATCCATTTTTTATTTTTTTAGCTTATTAAATTGTAATAAGAGAAAACCTTTACTGAATATAAGGTTTTAATAAGCTAAAATTAATAGTAAAATTTGCTTTGATTACATTAGGTACATTGACAAATAACGAATAAAACAGATTGACAATGACGTCAACTTATGGCTGATAATTTCAACTAAGAAGTTTACATCAAGAACATTATCATAAAAAGGAGCAAAACTCCGGTGTACCGTTTTTTAAAAGAAAAAAAATATGCTTTTAATGCCTATGTTTTAGAAATAAATTACGCGATAAATTGTAAACGTGTATTCCTGAAACTGGGTTATGCTACAAGAGGGAAATCACAGACTCGAGGCCAGCGTATTAAAATTGCCGAATTAATAGACCATCTGCAAATTTAGTGAAGGTCAATCGAAAGAAAAAAAAGAATTCTAAGAATATAAATACAAGTGTTAACGTTAGTTTGTTTGCAAAAAAAAAAAAGTATGTGTTTTCATAAAAGAACAGACAACTATAAATTTGGAATTGGGGGCTTTATATTATTTATTACCAAACTCTTAACCATGATAGTTAACATTTTATCTAATATTACCAAATAAAAAGTCACTTTTAAATTACCGTGAAAATTTAACTATCCGTGGCGTTATCTAGTCTGTGGCATTTGGATTGTTTCCACTTTAACCACTTTTATCGTTTTCATATTACATATTCTTATATCTGTATCATTCTTTGCAAAGAAATTCTGGCTATAGTTTTTACTTCGGGCTATCAATGTCGGCTATTCTACCACGTTTTTAAAAAAGAGCCTTCTGGTATTTTGTTCGGGTATAATTTTATTATTCACTATAAACTACCTTCCCGACTAGAAATTTAAAATTTGAACATTGTTCCGAAACGCATGACAATGCACAAAAATGCTCAGAAAGAAGTTTTATACCTTATAAAGTTTGTTTTAAAAGTAACGTGGCATTTTTAGAACTTTTTTTTTTCATCATTTTTTTTACAATCATGAATTATTCAGGTAGGCCAAGATGGTACCAATATACAAATACACTATATACAATACTATATAATCGGTTCTGATTTTGGATCCTATTCTAAATATTATAATCGAGTCGATTTTGAGAACTACGCTATGTTTTCCATATTCATTTTCAGTAAATAAATAGTTGCATGCGAACATTAACAGAAGTGCCCCTGTGGATATATAGTTCTGGCAAATGTTCAAGGTTCAGACTCTTTGAAATTTGCGTCTCTGTTTGGCTGAAATACGGCTAGACTTAGCAAGCTTGTCGGCATGTAGATTTTTTCTCTTGTAGATGTCATTTTGACGATTACACGAGTAAAAGATGATTGACAATTCAGTGTATTTTTTTTCCGTATC